GAACTATCCTCAATGTTTCAATATTAAGATCACGGGGTCTGGAACTGCTAAGCCTGAAGGCGTCTTGGGCACCAAGCTGTACACTCCTACTGATCCGGGTATCTACTTCAACCCTTACACAACTCTGAAGAACTATACTATCCCCGGTCCGCCTCTGTTTAAGAACGACAATGGAAGTCTTGGCAACGGCGCCATCACATTATCAAGTGCTAAGGACCAGACCACTGCTACGAGCATTGCCACCACATTGGTAACCTCTGGACTGCCCAAGCAAACCACAGTGGACACTCTCACCAACGCCTTACCAACCGCTACTATCATACCCAATAAGACCCCTGCTAAGTCATCTGCGACTGGATGTAGAGCTGTGCGAAATGGTAAATACCAGAGAACCCGACGTTCTCAATTCTAGTACCTATCGGTCTATTCAAGATCCATTCATATACGCTCACCAAGAGTACGTTTGGATTTCTCTTCCATTCATTTGAACCCCCAGGGTATGGCGCTGGTAGCCATATGTAGCTTGTCAAGGAAAAATGGCTTAGCTATTATCTTATAAATAAAACTTTTATTTACAATTTTAAACTCTTATTTGCGATGCCCTGTAGAAACTATAACGCTCTAAATAAGGAGCCACCGCATACTTTTACATGTTTTACAAGACTTGACAAACCACTCTGTCATACGGAACATAAGAGGAGAAGTTTAGTAGTGGCGTTCAATCTGGCGACCGTGCACCCTGTGATTGAATTTTCTGGTGACGGCTATCGGTCAAGACGGTTAAGGTTTAGCACTAACTACTGCAACCCACTGACGGGCTAATTACGCCGAGAGCGGTCCACATACCACGATCACAGAAGGCGTCCTTGAAGCGTCAATGTCACAGGTACGTAGTAATTTGTTATCATAAAGCGCTAATGGACCCGGATAACAAACGCGTTATATCAGCCGCATCCTTGCAGAATAGTGTGTATCGGAGAATCATGCAAGAGGAAGCAAATAAGTTTAATGATTTGTACGCATTCAGTTATATGTAAAAGAACTGCTGGCGCTTCGATTACGATGGTATGTAGACATAATGAGAGGTATCTAGGACACACCAGCCTCGCCGATGTGCCGGAGGTAAGGTGATTGAGAGCCGAGCAAGGGGCGTGGCTCAGTCGTTTCATTAAAGCATAACAGAATTACGCAGACAGAAGCAAGCCTACTCAGCGCATTCATTTGATTGTCCAGCCTGCAGACATCTTACGAAAAGATAGCGCAGCTGGTTCAATCACAATCTACGCCAGCATTCCAACTATAACGATCCTCCCATCGATCGCACAACTAATCTAATTGCCATGGCTCTAATCCCGTTGGTAAGAATTGGTCTGCCTACTAAACCTGGTAGCTGGACCGGCGTAGCCCACCTACCCTAAATCCTCTCTCCTCACTGCAGGGCTCACCATAAGATTGTCTCCCTTTGCAACTCAAGCGTAGAGTCAGCGCATTTTGGCGATTAAGACATTTGGCCTGCCCTCAGACACTCGAACATACAGCGATGCCACCAACCTGGCCCAGGATGCCAATATAGACTTGGTAGTATACAATGCTCGCCTTGACCGCCGTTACACAACGGCGAAAGTCAACATCTCCGCCGGCACGGTCCTCAGCATTTAATTCTTATTAAGCTAATATATCTTTGTATGGGAGGTCCTGTACTATCCCTTAAAGACGCCTATTATATTTGAAACAGGATGCAGCTACAGTAACCCAACGTTGAGCTTACTTCGACGACCGGAGCAATAGTTGGCACTGTCGAATCTGACGTACAAGATCTTATTGCTGTACCTACCAATACATTGAGGAGGGTGCAATAGTCATTGTCATTTTTGCGAGAAGACCGCCAAATCCTGGTGAACCTTATCTCTCGTGGACTAGAACAGAATAGAATGGTAAGCTCACGTTCACTAAAGGAGGAGCCACGCCTTTATGGCTTCTGAGCCTGTCAAGATCGAGCTGCTCAATATCCCCGCTGGAACAGTCCAACGGGTTGGTTCCATAGACCTGGGCGGCTTAGCGTCAGAAACTCCCAATCGCGCCCGGGGCATTTCCAACGTGTATGAAGCATAAGCCCGAGGTGACCAAATGGCATGTTACGACTCTGAACACAAGATAAAGCGACATGGGAAATTAGGGAATCTATAATCTAGGGGCGCTTAAAGAATGTAGAAGCATAATTTATCAACTAGTCAGTTTTATATTCAGAAACTATGAGCCTTAGAAATGAGACAATTAGGCTCTGAGAGGCTCAAGACTCTTGCATCCCCCACAGAAATCGCCATGCCCCCGATCAAACTGATTGGGATCTTGGAGCTAAAGGGGAACAGACAATTAGTACAATACTTAGTGTCAGGCTTATAGGAGGTAAAAATCAACGTTAATTTAGCAAAGTTAGATTCCAAGGAGAATAGAGTTCGCCGTTCCGTTGCTAATGAAGAAGGTAGTGCCAGCTCATGCAGTCGCACAATCTGGGGAAATACACCCACGAATGAAAAGAATCACCGACGTGCCTTATTGCCGAAAGCTTTGGGGGAAGTCATACTGGCTAGTGCAATCGAGGAATTGAACTGCATCTCCCACTGTACGATGTCACGCAACGTGCAGCACTTTTACTTATCTAAAAGTCGTTTGAGAAACAGCTGGAATGCGTTGAATGTGCCGGGCATCCGAGATGGTCCAGATTCCAGACTCGATGGTGAAACATGACAGCCTGATGGGTTTCTCTGGAAAAATGCAGTCCACCAATTGACCGGGCTTTTTGTGGCGTCGATGTTGGTGTTTCAATCTTAACCCCGGTACATTGGGGGCGATGTGGAGCACTCAGCTAATTCCCGGACCAAACTCGCGATCCCTAATCAAGATGCAGGGCCGACGTTATTGCAAACACGGGCCATTGTCACGGCTGAACGGCATCAATACGCGGGTCTGTCATGATTCAGGCTTCAAGTGCGCGCTTCAGATATAGGGAGTGCACTGAACTCAGTATATAAGAGAGCCGCATGCTCTTGGCATCATACATCTTGTTCTTGGCATCAGCATTCCATTCAGCAGTATACTTCAATTCGTATATACACTTTCTCAAAACTTCCATTCATTTAACATTACATTCATTACCATGTTCTCTTCAACTGTCCTCCTCAGCGGCCTGGTCGCCTCTGTACTCGCAGCCCCTCTTGAGCCTCGTGCTAGCTGCACTTTCACCGATGCGGCTACTGCCATTAAGAACAAGGCTGGCTGCTCTACCATCATCCTCAACAACATTGCAGTTCCTGCAAAGACCACTCTCGACTTGACCAAGCTCAACGATGGCACTCACGTCATCTTCCAGGGCAAGACCACCTTCGGCTATGCTGAATGGGCGGGCCCTCTTATCTCCTTCACCGGTAACAACCTACTCATCGAGGGAGCTTCCGGACACTCCATTGACTGCGAGGGTAAGAGATGGTGGGATGGCAAGGGCAGCAACGGCGGCAAGACGAAGCCCAAGTTCTTCAGCGCCCACTCCCTCAAGAACTCCAACATCAAGAACCTGAACGTTCTCAACACCCCTGTCCAGGCTTTCAGCATCAACAGCGTCACCAACTTGGGCGTCTATGGCGTTCACATGGACAACTCTCTCGGCGATTCTCTTGGTGGACACAACACCGATGCCTTCGATGTTGGCTCCTCCACCGGCGTGTATATCTCTGGAGCCGTCGTCAAGAACCAGGACGATTGTCTCGCCATCAACTCTGGCACCAACATCACCTTCACTGGCGGTAACTGCAGTGGCGGTCATGGTCTTTCCATTGGATCCGTTGGTGGACGCTCTGACAACACCGTCAAGACAGTCCGCATCCTCAACTCTGCCATCTCCAACTCCGACAACGGTGTCCGTATCAAGACCGTTTCCGGCGCTACCGGTTCCGTTTCCGATGTCAAGTACGACACCATCACTCTCTCCAACATCGCCAAGTACGGTATCGTCATTGAGCAGGATTACGAGAACGGTTCTCCCACAGGAACCCCCACTTCTGGTGTCCCCATCACCGACGTCACCATCAACAAGGTCACCGGAACGGTCAAGTCCAGCGGAACTGATGTCTACATTCTTTGCGCCAGCTGCAAGAACTGGACCTGGACCAACAACAAGGTCACTGGTGGAAAGACCTCTACCAAGTGCAAGGGAATTCCCTCTGGTGCTTCTTGCTAAATTTTGAGTTTGAATGGAGAGAAGTACATGGAGGTTGTGTAGAACATGACATATAGCTGGTACTATCTTCTGTTTGTTTTCTTTGTACATATAAGCTATCAGTTAATACTATTCTCTCTGATACATATAATGACCTTCTCTATTATGGTATGTGGTGTGAAATGCAAAGTCTGGGATAGGAAGGGTTGTTTATTTATTAAATGATCCGTCTTAAGTATATCTTATCCTTTTCATCAAGATCCACTTCCTGATTAGTTCTCTCCAAGTCGCTTGAGGCTTATCGTACCTGGTTTTGTTTTGGTATTTCATGGACCTCTAAACTCTCATTAAACGTATGTGCTTAGAACAGCAACCGAGGCATTTCCTCTGTAAATATGACTCTCTCGACTGGTTACAATCTTGTGCAGAGACTTGTCTCCTGAGATTAAACGAGCCATGGCAGGAGGAACTATTATTTACTATTATACTTGATTTGCATTGCTAAGCTGTTACGGACCAAGATTCAGATTGATAATACCCCTTTTAAGGCTTAATTCACTTAAATAAGTCACTTACAAGATCTAATGGTAAGCTAGTTCTTGCAATACAGAGTCTTATATTTAATACATATAGCTGCTAACTGATGTTATAATAGATAAATTGCTGTATTGCCTTTTTAACGAAAATTCCTTAAGAATAAACATAAAAGTACAAGAGATAACGTATCCACTCTTGCTTTTACTTTGCGGCTCCTTTTAGTGTTTTCTTAAGTCATATAAGAAAGGATTTACTTGGTGTCAACAAAGTCCCAGCTGGATACAGGAGCATTCTGACCGGCGATCGTGGCCGTGGGGCGGTCGTAGAAGTATCGGACTGAAGTTTCACCAGCGTCGCTGAGGATTCGGACAATGAAGTGAACGACAATCTCCTTTCCGGCGTAGAAGCCCCTGACGAGGAAGGGGACTTTGATGTCGAGCTCAGTACCGCTCTTGTTGATGAAGGTTGCGCCCTCGACGCCGATCTTGGGACTGGTGACGCCGCCACCAGTGAGGCCGCTGTACCAGATGGTGGACTTGCCAGTGTAGTCCTCCTCGACCCAAAAGTTGAAAGCCCAGGAGGCGGCACTGATCATGTTGCCGGCGACGACCTTGAAGGCCTTGCGGACATGGGGGGAAGTGAAGACACGCTTCTTGAGAGAGGCGGTATCCTTATCGACGCTGCGGACGGCGACGGCGTTGGCGATATCAATACCAATGGGGGTGCTGACACCCTCGCTCAGGTATTTGACATCTGTAAGTGTGATTTAAGGTTAGCTCCGCTCGATGAACGAATCTCTGATCATTTCAGGGGATACAGGGTTTGGAGACTGTGTTATGGGATTCATCTGTCTCACCTCTGGACTCGACGACGACGGCAGTATTGTCGATGGGGCTGGCAAATACGGCTGAGGTGAAAGTGCTGGCTGCGAGAAGACCAGCGTAGAAGTACTTCATCATAGGAGCCATTTTGAAGACTAAGAAAATAATAATGGGTGGTTGTGTAATTTGATAGACTGGTTTTGTTGAGAGTTGAATGAGTAGTAGATAACGATGAAACAATTTCTCTAAGACACAGGGTGTCCTCCATTTATACAAGTTAATACAAAGTCTGAAATTAAAAGATTCCTCCCGCTCCTTTGCGGGCAGTCGATGACATCTGTTTCAAAAATGGACAGGTGTATATTCTTTAGATTGTTTCACTCTAAAGCTGCTAAAGCATTGCTTGATCTGCGAAAATGGTTATAACTGCCAATCCAAACATGCCAGCAGTTGCTAGTCTCTACTAAAGATTATGCCTTATTAGCAAAAAGCTACCTATGTTAACACGTGTTAAATATAAAGTTTTAACTAAAACAAGCTTTTAAGTTTAAAAAGAAAGAGAATAACTTAATTTTTATAATACTAACTATTTAAAGGTTAAGATAAAGAAGGTTATATAAGATATTTATTTTAAGAGATTAAAAGTTATATAAATAAATAATATATTATATAATCTTAAAGTAGTTAAAAGGTAAAGTAATAAAGTACTTTCTATAATAAAATTATTTATATCTTTATATTTATATTAAATCTATAAAACCTAAATCTATTTATTTTTTCTTAGAGGGAAAGACAACATGTCTAAAGCACGGTCTTATTGAAGACAACGTGTCTAGAGTACAGTCCTCTTAAAAGACAACGTGTCTAGAGCACGGCCCTCTTAAAGATAACGTGTCTAAAGCACGGTTTTAAACACACTAACCTTATAACAGTTAAGACCACTGCTAGTACAGTGGTGTTCAAATAGGAGCATTACGATCTGGGTTAAAGAGACTGTTAGTATTATTTATGCTAGAAGGTCTTATAAATATAATTTAAGAAGACCTATAGCTTGTATTATAAATTCTATTATAGTAATAAATCATCCTTCCTGAAAAGAACTCATTACATCTTTACAATTTCAATTAGTTCCTTAACTTCTTTATCCTTAACAGTTTTGCTATTCCTTACCTAGAAAAACATGGCCGACAGTAACTTTAGTGGCTTTAATGTTAGCAACAAGTACCACATAGGTTCGGTTCTAGGCACTGGAGCATATGGCATTGTTCGGTATGTTGCAAAATGTCTTATTTCTCGCACTCGTACTGACTAGTGGCTACTAGATCTGCTGTTCACAGACCTTCAGGTCAAAAAGTCGCCATCAAGAGAATAGAACTACCCAACGTCCCTATGTTTTGCTTGAGAGCTCTTCGTGAGATAAGACTTTTGAGATGTATCAGTCACGAGAACATTATATCCATTTTGGATATCGAGAAGCCATATTGTCACAACGAATTGACTGAAATATATATAGTCCAGGTAATAAAGCCTCCTAGATATTTATTCATATCATCTTTATATCTACCTTGTATATTATATCTTTGATGATTTTATACTAACTCCATTTCTAACTGCTTAGGAAATAATGGACACAGATTTACATAAAGCTATAAAGTCTCAGCCTCTTACTGATGATCATGGCCAATTTCTGATATATCAGTCATTGTGTGCTTTGAAAGCATTGCACTCTCTCAACATCATCCACCGGGATCTTAAGCCCAGTAATATCCTGCTAAGCGAGGATTGCGACTTAAAAATATGTGATTTTGGACTTTCTCGGAGTACCAATTCCAGTCACCAATCCCGAGGCTTCATGACCGAATATGTTGTAACTCGGTGGTATCGAGCACCAGAGCTCATGTGGAGTCCCGGAACATACAATAATGCAATCGATATCTGGTCGCTTGGGTGTATCTTTGCTGAGATCCTCAAGGGCAAGCCTATCTTCCCCGGCAAACATTGTAAGAAAACTAGGCCTTCATGAGCAAAGAAGGACCGCCTTTTCATGGCGAATCTTAGTTGAACATACGCTGACGTTCTCCCCTTGGTGTAGTTCTTCATCAGCTGTCAACAATTTTCGACATCCTCGGGTCGCCGACAGCTGAATTTTGCCGTTCGATTCGTTCTCCACACGCTCGTAACTACATACTATCTATGCCCCACAAGAGCCCAGTACCATTTCGAAACTTGTTCCCAACAGCGTCGAGTCAAGCGATCGATCTACTTCAAAAGATGTTGACTCTTGATCCTGCCAAGCGTATTACCGCTGAAGAAGCCTTAAAACACCCATATGTTGAAATGTATTATGACCCAGCTGACGAACCAAATATTGCCTTCCATCCAGGCGGGTCGACAGATCTCGTTAAGGCTGAGGAAGGTTTATGTTTGGAAGAGATAAAGCGGTTGATATCTAAGGAAATAGACGCAATGCAAACGCAATCTGAGGACTATTATTAGGGTAACAAGTAGATAGACACTTATAGAGGCTTCAAAGTTAATTCTTAAAGTTCTGTGACGTCGATTAATTATTTCTTAAAAGTAAAGTTGATCACCAATTGGCTTCTCAACATGGGAATGATGGTCCCAGTGTGATTAATTATCATGGCCTAATGACTGCATGTGCCTGTAAGGCAATATATCTCTTTTAGCTACTTAATTGCTATACACATAAGAGCATTGTCAAATAGCAGATATGGTTATCAATGCACTGAAAATGCTCTACTAATTGAATTATGAATAAAAAGTAGAATCTTTAATTGGGCATTCCTCGTTATATCAGAGTCTGATTTCATTTACAGCAATATAAAACGCAGCGTCTTTTCCACGATATAAATATTATATCACAGTACCCCTGGACTGAATTGATCCATGTAAGTCCCAAAGTAGCTCCACGATGACTACCGATCCTTTGCCAAGTTTGATGAAGCACATCTCATACGGGTGATCGGCGAAAAGATGGCTTGAAAGACTGGGAATTCAAGCCTCCCTGGACACAAAGAGCATTATGGTAGTCGTCGAGCCCTGATACTGATGCCCATATATCTTGTTCTTGATCTCGTCTAGACTTGTAACCTTGTGGATCTATTCCATAGACATCTCTTGTCGATTCAGATCCAGTGGTTATCACTCTTGAAGTAGGAAAAGAGCCACCTGGCAGCATTCGTTCACTTCTATCTCGAAAGCGCCCTTCGTCTCTGACAAGCATAATGTAAGCGACAGGCCCTGTTTCACCTTGGGAAGCCGGAATCATGTTGGCGAAAGTTGAATCAACTTTCGACCAAACAGATTCATGTATGGCATGGTGTGCCTCGCTTCTAATTTCTTTCTGGAAGATTGGCCCAGAAATATTCTGGTCAAGTTCCGGCATGTCATGAAACTGATCGCTGGCTGTTCCACTTCGATATGGCGACAGTCTTGGAGGAGACGCAGATGGTAGAGAACGGGATTTATTTCCCTATTCGATAAAAATTAGTTCAGGAAGAAAATTTAAAGTGAGAAAATCACGGAATGAATAGATAATAAATGAAATGCAAAAGCTTGAATAGAGGCAGAGTGGGTCGGTAGTTAAATATAGGTGAGAGTATGTAAAGCAGAAAGAGGAAAGCTTAAAGGGTAGAAAGAAATTTATTATAATAAAAACATAAATTACCTGCATAACATGGTTCTCAAATGTCTTATCTGCTTGTAAAGTTCTTATGGAATGATATCGGTGATGGCGGTTATATGGCCTCCTGCCTTGATAGCCTACTTGGGGTAGCAGGGAATGCTGTTCAATGTTGAGATTACGTCCAGTGCTGGGGAAGCTATCACCATGCGCTGCCTCTAATTCATCGTATACTGATGACTCAGACCAGATTGGACTTTCGCAACTCTGGCTTGCAGTGGTAGACACATTCTCGCCCTCAAATGAATCCAAGGTGTCGAGGCATTTCCAAATTTCTTCTATCAGGTCTCAATAATGGATGATGACAACTGCATATTGAATACGTACCGCTATCGTCGGAGATAGACGGAGATGTGGGTCCAGAAAAAGACAAACCGAAATCCACTCGAAGGTCGTCAATGTCTGCCAGCAATGACTCGAGAGAGAAATAAACACTGTCGGGTGGTTTGTGCATGGTGGCCCTTGGAAAAATAAAGGCCTTTCATCAGTCAGACCTGGTGTTTCAACTAATACCCTCTTGCAATAGGGCATAAGAATGCAGCATAAGAGTAAATAAATGCAAGGGAGAGAGAATAATTAAATAAGTTTTGTCTGGAAGCCACTCTTTCTTTACACAGTTGCAGACTTTGATAACTGTCAGATTGCAGGGCTCTTGATAACGTTGATTGGTAGAGCTACATTGTAAGTGAGAGGAGCATAGACCACATCGTATTAATGGAAGCTTATCTGTTAAGGACACGTAGCAATTCAATCTGAACACGTGTATATATGGATGATCTACAGCCAGAAAGAGACAAGGCAAGCTGAAAAAGTCTATCAAGAGTCACAGATCCGCCAACAGATAGCAAGACTTGTGCTTCGTCGCGACCAATCACCTCGAGCCGAATCCCTTTACATTTGATCCCTGGGATATCTGAACTATAAAGCACCCCTTGACGAGCTCATACCTACGTCACTTTAGCGGAATAACTGCCGATGCGTGTAGCTGTGTGGAACCCTGGATCCAAGATCGAACGGAAACACCAGGCAATCGGCCCATAGAGCGTCAAGTGAAGTGTGTTTTTAATACGTGTCGTTCATTGTAATCGGCCTGAATGACATCATACCGACTGCAATATAATTTATAGGAGGCGCTAAGAATGATGCTACTTTTAGCTAGACAAAGCTCATAGTTTTCTCATACCTAACAGATAATGAGGCAGATGCTATTAAAGATGTTGAAGGAGATGAATTGCCTACGCGGTATATTGAACTTACCTCTGCGCCATGATTTCACCGCCTTTAGTTCATGCAAGAGTTTGTTTTAAGACGTAATATAGTCATAATCTTTGGCCGTTGGCACATCCCTTAGGGACAGCTCTAGGCAGGTACCGCATGGTACAAGGGAGTTGAATGGCCATTGGACTCAGCCAAGATGTCTTGTTCGTTCATGTCGACTCATCGGTGTCCACACATATGGCCGTGATTTTAACGACACAATCAAACTACTCCTTTGCAGAGTTGAGATGGATCAAGCGGGCTTGCCAATGTGTATGATGATTTTCTACTCCCATGGCTGTACTGTGCCTCGGGATCGTCATTTTGGTATTTTTGGTATGGTTAATGAGGATGATAGAGAAAAAGCACTCAGTCTTCGACCTGATTATACCTTGTCAGTAAGAGACATAACCATGCGATTCTGGAGATATGCACTGCGGACCGGTTCGGAAGGAGAGCTCCTGTTCTGTGCGGGCTTTTCCTGGTCGTGCTGAAGAATACCCATCTTGAATACGAGATCTTTGTGCCCCAAAACCCTTGAGAAATATCCAGATAGGTTCTCCCAAGGCACTGGTGACAAAGGATATCAGGTTTGACTTCAACCTGTCAGGTTAAACAGCTCAGTACTTTATTGGCTGTCCGCCGGCTGTCGATGCAACATGCCATTTGATCAGAAATAATGCAACTGTCATAACGAAGTCTTCAGTCAACCAGGAATGTAAGATTTATTACAGCCTTATTCCTTTCGAGGTAGTAGGCAGGACGAGAGTTTAACGGTTCTGGATGAATGTGTCGTTTGTATGTTTTAGTTCAATACGTAGTATAATATGAGTTCTTCCCAAATCTCGCTACGTTGCCATCACTGTTCGACTAGTTGTCAAATCTATCTCGCCATCATGGTCTTAAAACAGTCACGTCACAGCAGTTTGCCAGATTATTCACTTGGCCAAGATTCAAGCACGCAATCAGCGGTAAGATAACAGATAAATTTATTAGCTAGTAACCAGATCAGAGCATATAAGAAATCCCAAATATATCAATATTATAACCATCCTGTGAAACCCATGAAACAACAGCTGACTGTTTAATTGATGATAATGCGCTGGGACTTAGGAGTAGCCTTAGGAATGACTATAGTCAGGAGACCATCCTTGAGATCGGCAGTGACCGCGTCGTGGTTGATGTAGGTAGGGAAAGTGAAGTAGCGCGAGAACTCCTTGCTATAGCCAGAGCGCCTTGACTCTTCAGGCTGCTCGGGCTGCTTCTCCTGTGCCTTCTCGCTGAGGTTCTCAGGTTCTGGCTGGCTGACGGTCTTTGACTTCTCTGATGTGTGACTCAAGACCTCAAACTCGTCGTCATTAACATCATCCTCTACAGTGGCCTGGTAAGAGCTTCTGCTTCGAGTGTCTTCGTTGTCTGAATCGGTGACTGGGGTGGGAGCAGCCTGCTCGGTGGTTGTTTCAACTGGCTTGGGCTCCTCTGTGAATCGCTCAACCTTGCCGCTGACGACAAGCTTGCGAGGCTCAGGGAACTCGACAGTGACGTGCTCCTTGTTCATACCGGGGAGTTCGCCGTAGAGCACGAAAGAGTCCTCAGTCTCGTGGGCCTCGAAGCGGGGTTCCCATGGGCGGGAGTTCACCCGATAGGCAGGGCAAGAAGCCTGAGCGCGGCTCCGCTGCTGAGGCTGGCATTGGCGCTTTCGCTGGGGCTGCTGAACCGACTGGTCAAGCTCCCGAAGGAGATGGTAGAGTGGGTTCTGGGGAGCCTGGATATGGTAGAAGGTCTGGGGAAGGAAGAATGCCATTGTGTTTGTGTGTTTTGGTTGCGAGTTGTAGAGGGTGATTGATATGATGGTTCAGGCTTCTGATTGGCTGAGTGGAGGCGACTTGTGCTTTGAGCTTTGTTTAAGTTGAATGAGTAGTGAAGAGATGGAATTCTGATGAATAAAAAATTTACCAAAGACGTCGGAAACGCTTCATTTATACAGCAATATCTCAGAAATAACCTTTAGGCAGGGTGTTCTTGCGCAAGCTGTTACTCACCATATCGAATTGCCATGATCTTGCCCGAAGCATCCAGAAGGTTCTGGGGACTTTTCCAAGCTGAGTAAGACGTCATTTGTCAGTCCTCTTTGCACTAACACTAGCCACTGTGGCTGGGGCTGCTTGCAAATCCACATTCAGAGCCTGGACCATTGAGATTGTCACCATTGATGACAAATTTAATTTAATTCCCGGACATTCCGTGTTAAAGCCGTCCCGACTGTAGTAGTCAAATCGGGATGGGCCTACCCGATACTGAAACAATGCGTATAATGAGATGCAAGAATGGCTAATAGTTATGCATACAATTCTATTTTGAAAGCCCTGGGATGTCACTGCAGAGAGCACGAGCAAGCGGATCGGAATATGTTTTTATTTAGTTATAACAGCTGACACATGTAAGTTCCGTAAGCTTTCCGAACCAAAGACACGTAGACAAGGATGATATCGCACAAATCTTGGATCTCACGTCCCTTTGTCACCGCCTCTGCTGGGCCGACTGCCATCATCTACAGTTCTACCATCTTGCTTCCAAACATGACAATACTTACGTTCCAGATTACAGAATTGCATAGGGGGCTGAGAAAGCGAAGGTAGTTCCAGGCACTGCCCATCCACTATCCAGGTAAGAGGGCAGCCGGTTCGAAACCATTGGCGTGAATAAGAAGACCACGCTCAATCCAACATGTGAAGATGCATCAGAGAGTTATCTCCACCCGCTTCTGTAAAATAAAAGTCCAGACTCCTTCCACAATGCTAGCAAAGTCCACTGAGACCTAAACAGAATAGTGCCCAAAATTCCTACCAGTAAGATAAGATAGAAAGCGACACTATCCCAAAGTAGCAAGCGTAGCTCTGTATAATTCGTCACTTTTGTCTCCAGCAATTCGATAGTCAGCGCCATAGATTTCATCTACAGCACTTAGCTTGCAGCCATAAGTACAATATGTATTTTTCCACTGAGTCTTATTGGTAAAGCTGAAGGAATCTAGATCTCGTGGCGCATACCTGTCTCAGAATGTGGCCTGATGATAAGACTTTCAGCTTTCAGCTTGACTCTTGATCAACTTTCCGTTGTATCTCTTGAACAAAATCTCTTGGCTTCCCAATTGCATCAGCACATCATACCTCCAAGATACAAATCTCAAGTATTATACGTCATTCAGTCAATCTGAACATTTACCCCTGCCTACGCCATGGAGATCGTCGATGGATCCTCGCCTTATCAGGGAAATGGCTGCAACTTATCCAACCCAAAGTATGGTTACGACTTTGTCATCTCAACTACCCAAGCTAGTATAAATTCGGATTTCTGCAATTACCTGCACAACAACACTTTGCCCTGTAATTACTTCTGTTTTCTATCGGTATGTTACTCGACTTTGCCTATAGATGTCCCCGGACTCATGCTCGTGGCTGTAAAACCAGCTAATCAGGTCTAGAACTCCTCAAATGCGAATGCAGTGGTTCCAGTCACCTTGGATGACCTTGTTGCCAAAACAGGCGGGGTTGATCCCTTCAAGGTTCCACGGGATACCCCGCACACAGACCCTCGGGTTCAGGCGCTAACCAAGGTGGGATTCACCGTCGGTGTCAAGATTCGTATGGGGCTTCCTCCAGGTGTAGAGCCCAGGGATCTCCCTCCCATTCTTGAGCTTGGCGATCTTGCCAACTCCGCCACTTTCAACATCCCTTGTTCCGACTTTCATGTCGTTGAGAACGAGCTGGGCACACCAGCCAGCCCCAATGGCAAATGGAATGTCTGGAAGCAGCCCCCGGGTCATCCATGGACTCTCAAAACATGGGTCAGCCTCGTTCATGCCAGTCTCGACAATCAGCTCAATGGCTCAGCACATTTTGCTCAAAACCCAGCCAAGAAGCAAAGACTACTCAAAAGGCTTCAAAACATTTCTAGCACGGCTTTTAGTCTGCAACAGCTGTTGCTGGATATGGATAATGCTACAGTTCAGAATGTCCCTGTCATTGAAGGCATGAAGCCTGGCAGTCGAGCTCACCTTGTTGTCTCTGGCCAAATCGGTAACATCTGGACAGCATTCACCAAGAAGTGCCATTGTCCCCCAATCTCTGTCGTCGCTGTTCCCCGAACATCACCAGACGCCTCCAAGCTCCGCTTGACATCCTTCGACCTCCAAGTTAACCGCGTCAAGGACGGCAACGGCGATGCGGTCAAGAATCCTACCAAGGAACAACTTGCTGCAACCACTCTCGATTACCGTTGCATGACTAGTGGCTCACAGCTACCGCCTGCTAAGCATTTCTCCTGGAACTGGGTCGAGCCAAGCAGCATCAATTCCGAAAGCGGTGTTGTCGCCATCAAGAGAGAAGTCTTCAGCCAGTATTTGCTTGATGCAATCCTTCCTCAGATCAAGAAATACTGCATCACCACGGACCCAGTGGTGGGAAACAGATTCCCCTGCGGCACCGGGAAACTATGGGCAGACTGGTCTCTACCCACGATCAACAACCAAACCCCCAAGTATCTTATCCGCCGTGGGTCCGACAATATAATCGTTATCAACTACTATGCTATCGATGACCCAGACACAAGCTCAACCCGAGGTTCGATATACGCTTCAGACTATTGCCGTTTAGACGTGGTGCCTGGCTATGAATGCAACGTTATACTTACCGGCAACACTCTGCAGATCCAGCAAAACCATGTCGTCAACGTCAGGCTCAAATGCACCGGTGCTACCTTTCCCTCGAAGAGTATTCCAGATTTTGATGAACAGTGTACGGCATACAACGCGTTCACTACTGATCACTACCAGATATCTGTTGGGCAAACAGGCTGTCTTCAAATCACTCACACCAACAGCTCCCCGGACACTTCACATGATAGATTTGAGGATAGAAACTCTTTTTTCGAGACGGACAATTTGTTGGAGAAGGTCAGGAGCCGTTTCACAGCACCAGTACCCATTGACTTCACTTCAATCAATGCCGCGATGTTACAAAACTTCATCTTCCCAGGAGGAAAGGTCTTTACCTACGGCAATGTCAGAGCAGCACCAAGTGGCGATCTTCTCTGCAGCCTGACTTATGCGGACCCCGACGAAGCCATCACTTCGACAGCAATGCTCAAGGTATGTGACCTGCAGTTTGAGAGTAGCCCATGCTAATCTAGTTGGTAGTTTCCAGCGGCAAAAGCAGAAGATGATGTCCCGTCTACTCCAGTCGCTGTACCCGTCCCAGCTGCGACTACGCCACCAGCTTCCCTGACATTTACGGCGGAGATGATGCAGAACTACGTCCCTGGCGAGATTGTTAATCCTTCTGGAAAATTCGAGGCTCTGCAGACACAAGATGGCCACTCTATTCTTTTCAACTTAAGCTCTACAAATGTGTTGCAGGCTATTGTCGAGCAGAGCGGAGCCAGCTCAACGGGATGGCGAATAGTAGACCTCTCGTCCAACGTCCTTAGTTCCGCTTTTGCCAGCGATAAGAGTGCAGTTGTCAAAACATTCGATGTTAACCAAAGTGCTGTAGACAGCACTATTAGTCTGGCGATGGTTGTTACCTCTGGGGGTACAGATAACCTCCTCTTGTCTCTGTACAATCACAACTCAACTGCTGCATGGATTCCTGCGCCAAACCTGACCTGGAAATCGGTTCCGTTCGATGCTTCTTCGGCATCCAGCAGTACAATAGCCATAGAAGGTGTCATGTTTGCCGAGACAGATGCCAGTCACAAGCAACACATTATTGTTGACATTGACCGCTCAAGTTCTGACGCAATCAAGATGATTTCTCGATATCACGTCAATCCACTAGCAACAGACAAGCACTGGACCTCTCATGGTATCACGGTAGATATCCAAGCCGGGAACTATCAAAGCTGTGTTGGGAGGTTCCAGAATGAATTCGTTGACGGAGTCTTTACCCGCGGTGTATCTGGAAACTCGAGCCAACTTGTCTATGTCCCTATTCACAACGCCTTTGGAGATGGCCCACCTGCAGCGCGCACTCTCAGTCTCCCAGGGAATGTCACAGCATCGGCAATAGCAACGGCAAGGGCATTCAATAATTCGACAGACTTGTATGCTATTGGTGGTCAGACCCTGTTCTGGTTCCCTGCAAACAGCCAGGCCGGACAGTCAGTTGCTACGACAATCGTCAGCAACAGCATATTCCAAGGAACGACTGAGCTTTCAGCCATGACGCACGGCGGTGTTACAACCATTTGGGGCAAGAATGGAAGTGATCAGATCTACTACACGTCTTGTCCCAATACACAGCTTGGTACGGCCGCATCATGGAGCACACCTCTCCCGCTGATGACCGGTATAGAGAACATGTCGGCCTTTGTGAACCGTACGGGCTATAGCAACACCATATTTGTTTCTGGGGGAACCTCCCTTTGGCGATTAGTGCAAGCTACAGAGACAACTGCCAAGCTTTGGCGTCAGGAGTCCCTTGTTATTGAGGCACCGCCACAAACCAAGGCGATTGCATTCAACTCTTACACTACCACCATTCAACTGGCAGACGATAAGAAGGTGCCTGCAGGCGATGTCGCTGTCTCTATCACAGCGCCTTGCAGGACTCCTGTTTACATCAATGGCTTGTACTACGTTTTGAGCTCAACGCCCATCACTGTTTCTTCAGACAAAACTGGTGCACTAACGGTAGTTGAGAACACGCACAACACTCTGAATGGGACATCCATCACTGTTACCTGTGGCGGTCATGCAACGGTCATAGATCCATCGCATCAACATTTCCAAAAGATTACCTCATTGAACACTCCCACTAAGTTGGGAGCAGCCAAGATCCCCAAAAATGTCGTTGCAGGGGGTACTTCAGGCCCCTCGGTCACAACGCCTCTTGTCAATCCATCTACTTCGTCAAATGACACGCAAAGTGTTGCAACCACCTTGGGAAACCTCAATACTGTCTATGGTGCCATCAAGAACCCAAATGCGCCTCTCAAGGTCGCTCCGAAGCCAGTCCCTCCCAAGCCAATTCCAGAGCATCGCCCTAGTTCAGGTCTTTTCGGGTCTATTTGCGACACCTTCGAGGATATTGGTCATGCGATCGAGGCTGATGTTGGAGACATTTTTCACGCCCTCAAATCAGCAGCTGAAGCGATCGTTCACATCGTCAAGGAGGCAGCAAGCGACGTGTGGCATTTCGTGACCACCATCGCAGGCAAGGTCTACCATGTAGTCCTCAGCACAGTTGATGCAGTTGTCGGTGCTGTCGAATGGGTATTTAATGCCATCAAGACGGTGATCCAGGATGTGATCCGCTTCCTGGAGTTTCTCTTGGATTGGGAGGACATCAAACGCACCAAGAACGTTATCTGCAACATTGCGAAGCTGTTTATGCAGGGCCAGATCAACTTGATTGCATCCGCCAAGCCCTTCTTCGACCAGGAGATGAATGCTCTTGTGACCATGATCAACGGCTGGGCTGGTGATACAAGCTGGACGGGCACGATTGGCCAGGCTACGACCCAGCCCTTGTCGGCAAATGGTCAGAATACATCAACAGGCCAGACATCTGGCTCACAGATGCTGTCTAGCCACTACAAGAACAACGCTTCTTCCCTGACTCTCGTTGAAACCGACACAGCCGAGAGTGGGGTAGAAGAGCTTGTGGACAACCTCTTGACCGCTCTGGAGAATGAAAACAAGACAATGACAGCAGCATACAACAACCTGAAGAACCTTGCTCACAACGTCTCATCTCAACCACTGCAAGACTCCCTCAAACAACTTGTTGCGATCATCGCCGATGTTTTGGTCTCTACTCTAGGCAACGTTGGGGACGCCATTCTAGATATTCTAACGAGTCTCGCCAGCTCCGCCATGCACCTTCTCGACACAAAGTTCCATATCCCAATCATTTCCGACATACTCAGTGATCTGGATATAAGTGAACCTTCTCTGCTGGACCTTTTCTGCTGGATTGTCGCTGTTGCTTACACAGTCATATATAAAATCGCCAACAACAGCGCCCCATTCCCCGACAACGACGATGTGAGTGCCCTGATCAACTCCGATAGCTGGCATACACTCCAAACTATCCTGGGTCAACCACCTCCCCAGGACGAGCTTTCCTATTACTCGCGTGCCGCTTCATACATCTGGTCAGCGCCTAAAGAAATCGGCGATTCTACCAAGAAGAGTATTTACCGCTGCCTACACACCATCGGGACCGACATTGATCTGCTGAATGTGTTTGTCATTCCTCTTGAGGCTAATGGCTCTTCGGATAGCAAGCAGAACGCATTTAGTGGGCCTATGTCGGTTCTAGGTTATCTGAATACCGCATGTCACGTTGTTGCTGGACTCGCCGTACCCCAAAATCCCATATCAAACGAGGTTCTCAAGGCCATGCATTACAGAAACATTGCTGTCAAGGTTCTGGCTAGTCCTATTCTCAAGAAGTGCATGAAAGTGAATGGAGATAACAGAGGCTTCCCTGCCCTTGACAAACGCGGCATGGGGGCTTTGGTTAAAGTCGTTGTCGGGTATTGGGGGCTGTTCGTCACTGCAGGTCATCTCTATGAGTTGAGTCACGATGCTCCAAGTTCCAACAGAACAGCGGCTATTCTGACGGAGGTCGGTAGTATACTGGGTGAAATCAGCAATGTTGCCTATTGCGAAGCTGTCAATGATCCAGATCGAACTACCAGAGAGGTCCCTCTCTTAGTTATAGCTGGAGTGGGATTGATTGAGGCCGGGTTGGAGGTGTCGTTAGTGGCAACTGTTGACAAATAGTTTATGACTGTTAGATCTTGATGAGAGATATGTATTTGTTTAACGGACATTAAGATTCTAATACTTCTCGTGCCTAAACATAGTCTTGTGACTGTCCTCCCTCCATCGTGAATCAAGCCCCTCATAGCCATTTCTAGAAAGTCTACCTCTTTTATCATGCCCATCGTTAAATGACTTTCCCTCCTCCGGCAAGCTCTTATCAGAGATGCACCAAGCATGCCACAGTAAAGGCGACAGCAGCTGTGTAAAACCCGACTTGCGCACCCTTGCCAGCACTATTTCGGATAAAATCAAAGCCTTCAACGGCGTACACATCACTCTCGACTGATGATAATTGACTACCAGAATTATTCAGCAGCCTAGCTTCAAAGGCGTGCACCGCGTCTGCTGAGATCGAGACATCGCTATCTTTGAGGCTTTTGACGACTGTTTCAGGGTTCCACTTGAAGGATCCTGCAGAGAGCGAGAGATTGGTGGCAAGTTCCCAGCCAAGCCGGCCACTGATGTCGCTGGTGAGGGCATAGAACCAGAGATCGAGTGCGCGAGCCTTTGGTTCGTTGAAAGGCCCATTGTTGGCATCCCACGTGATTGTGATAGGTTGAGTCAGGTCAAGTTTCTGAGACGAGTCAGGGCCAGTAAACTCGAATGCATGGCTGGCATGAAAGAAGGCGCAGCCAAGAGTGAGGAGTAGGGGGTCGTAGCGCATTATGTTTTGCGAGACGAGCACTAATGAGGTATCGAGGACAGGATAGGCCGCAAGAGAACTAAGTGCAGAATTGGTTAAGTGAAGCTATGGCTAACACGTGTAGAAAAATGAGGTAAAAGACTTTTTAAAATGAAAGATAGAATTAATAAACAGGTGAGAATGTAGGTCTTGTGACCAAGCATTCATCCTACAGATGACAAGTGCTCAAGGTACTCGTATAAACCTCCGTAAATGGCAGGTAATGACCTTTTCTTGTTGGTTGATCCTTGACTGCTGGGGAAGAGTTCCACTTTGAGCCATGTCCCTTACCGTATGGTGCAGAAGACGCGCTTGGCAGAGAGTCCAGAACGCGAAAAATGCCACGTTAGTTGGGCGGATTGGAATCTGGAATACAAATGGCTGGCATAATGTTACTAAGCACTAAGTTGGTGACCCGAAGGATTGATATAGGCTAAACTTGGAGCCAGAGCAAGTGACGGTGAGAAAAGAAAACATCGTGTTGGTCGAGGGAAGCTTGCTTGGCGTGAGGGGTATTGTGGATGGTGTTTTCTTCGGCTGATTAGCTGACATCGAGCTATTCAACTACACAGCTGCCAACGCCGAGATGTCACTTGTATGCAGTAAATGCTATTGTAAAAAGAGTTGGATAAAGTAGCCCGGGAAGGTAAATGTATAATCCAAATTAAAGTAGCCTCCCTACCGTTTTGCAGGCGCGATAAAAATATGTCTATGTATATACGATAATTATGTGAAAGAAATGTGATCATTATAGAACACAAAACTGATCTATCAAGCCTTAATTAGTAATGATAACTTCAGTAGTCGTGGGCTCCGGAATTGTAGTTGTGAAGGCAGTGACACCAAGCTCAGAGCAAGCCTCATAGTACGCTGATGGGCTATCGCAGTATGTAGCATAAGCTGGGACTCCAGAAGGAAAGATAGTTGTTGCGGCCTCGCCCTCGGCACGACGGGCAATCGCATTTGTAGGGATAATTATAACATTCCCGCGCTTATACACTGTCTGAGTCCTGGAGAATCGTCAGCCGATTGCCTACTAATTGATGTGAACGTTACCTACACTTCATATGAGCTGACTGTGACTACATTGAGATCCTGACAGTCTGCAATTTTATCTGTGAGCTGAGGCTCGCCATTGTTTAAGGCAAGGCTTTGGGCACAGCTATCATCCGGTGGAGCTGTGGTTGAGGCGGAGCCTGAGGTCGTGGTGGTTTCGGCTGTAGTGGTCGCATCCGAGCTGGCGATGGAAGAGGCTACGCTTGTGCTCTCAGAAGAGGATGTCGCTTCGGTGACGGAAGTCTCGACGTAGGACGTCTCGGTCGACCCGATGGTGGTCGACAGAAGCTCAGTGGAAGAACTGGTGGGTTTGCAAGGTCCAGCAATGGCAGTGACTGCGAGTGCAGCAAGAACGAGAGTGTTGCGGATCATTTTGAGTATGACGACCGGTGTTGATAATTGAGAAAGAGCGTGTATGTCCCAAGTTCACAAAAAGAGGAAATAATGCCAAACGTCTAGATTTTACAATCGAGGAAAACAAGGAGATAAATACGTCAAAGCAGACCACACTACTTAGCGGCTTTATCACGCATATTGCAACCGAGCATTTCTTTTTCAGATGTCTCCGGCTGCAATGAACACTTCTAGTCAGGGGCAGCTGAAAGACTATTGAATGGCTAGACCTGACTTGGTGTTTTTACTCAAGCTAGTAGGACGCTATTGACACGCTACCAGATTAGAGCCAACGAAAACGATAACCCCTGTATTTTTCTCAACAAGGAGCTGGATACGGGAAACTGGAAATACTCGGCAGCTAACAATACATGCCCCAAATGCGGATTGACTAAGATAAGCATGATGTACTTAGCAATACCCACATTTACCTTTCGCCACCGTGTGCGCTGCGTGTTCAGGGACAACACTTCGTAGTAACCAACACATTTAAAAAGTGGTACGATGTTGGTACGCAAAATCACCGAGATAACTAACTAATCTGTGTATACTGGAGGATCTCCCCGACGTCCAACAAGACTAAGGTAGTAAGGCTACTCAATGCCCTTTTGGGCCACAATTCAGTCGTCGAGGTCTGACTTGACCCTTTGTATTACACCTCTAACTACGGAGTGGTGGCACTGATTACGGGAGCTCCCGCTGCTAGCATGATGCGCCTAAAGACAAGGCGTTGTGATTCAACGCCGCTCGACGCCTCTCAACGCCTCTTAAAAACATGGTTATTGCGGGAGTAGAGTGAAGCGTGCATTAGTTCGAGATCAAACTTAATAAATTCTACGTGGTCTAATTACAAGTTTCATAACATGCATCGCAATGCAAGTCGTTTTATATCCGCCGAGTTGAATATTCTCTCTAATTACATAATGAAAATCTTTCTATTCTATATCTTATTTGAAAAGTGAAATCTAAACTAAACGGCGCAGGAACTTTGTATCGATTAGCAAGTACTTCAATATTCAGGTCGAAGGCAACATACCTCCAAACGGTTCAAACCAGACTCGGTTCTGTTTTCATCACCATTGGCGGGATTAAGAAGGATCCGTGCTAGGTCTCGTTTTGAGGCTTGTGCCTCTATAATTCTCTGGTGACACTCTTAGTTAGGGGACGTATCGTCGGCGATTTTCGCAATCTCACCTCCTCGAAGGAGTTTTGCACAAACATCCTCAATGTAGTCACTTCTTGGGTTTGTCCAATCCGGTGAATTCTTGCCAGCGCCTGGTCTTCCAGCGTTGGATTCCTATTATGCAGTGAGTCATCAAATCAACGCGAAAGCCGATTAACATACCAGCTTGGCTCCATTAAATAAGCTCGGGAAGCTTCCGTCAATGTAAGCCTGTTCACAGGAACGTTAGCGTAACAACCTAGGGACAAAGATCCATAAATGGCTAACCCAACTGCACCACACGTCAAGGTTAACAGTAGAACCCTAATCTGAGGGTCATTACGAAATCTCTCGATAACGCTGTGTCTCTCCTTCTGCGTAACAGTGCCATCAAATCTCAGACATGGAATAGACTCATGATCAAGACTGGCCTGGATAACATTGAGTGTAGTCCTCCATGAAGAGAAAACGACGCTGGAAGAATTTAGTTATGTCGGGTTATTGTAGGATATAAAATGACGTACCATTTAGTTTTTGGAGATTGCTTTCTAAGATCGCACAGCAACATTGCTACCTTGGAGGGTATTTCATGAGAAAAACTTGGTATACTCATAGATAATTCTGAGAATGAGGTGCCTGTTGTGACCGCGGCGATACAGCATTTTGGCTTATGAGGACAGAAGTTCTCTCGGTTAGTCTCACTTTGAGAACAGACCGGACATAGGAATGCAAGACATCGGGAGAACCAGGGATTCCCAACCTGCACTCCCTCGTCTACAAGACTTTCCATTTCTTCGAGGCTTAGACCACATAGATGACACTGAATGGCGCCCTCTTCGCGTCTAAGGTTGAACGCTTTCTGAGCTTCTGATTGCCAATCATCAACTGATACCTGGACGGATGGCTTCTCGTGTCGCAAATAATAATGAAGACCGAGGTTGCATATCATGCGCATGGCCTCGATCTTCTGCAGAATGTTGATGAAGAAATTTGGCTGCAGGGACTTGAAAGATGTGGGAGCTGAGTCGTTGAGCTGAGAAAGTACTTGCAATCTGACATCCTCGTACAGTTGTCGCTCGGCCGTCGTAAATTCCACTTGGAGCTGCAGATTATGAATTGGAGGTAATTGAATAACTTCTTTTGGACGCCGGAGCAGGAGACAACTAGCAATCCTCTTTAACCGTTGAACTGCCTTTTCAGCGTTACCGGACTTCCAGAGACTTGAGATGTCAGCATCAAAATGTCTCTTCTCAGAATATGGGTGAACACGCAGGAATTTTAATAGAGCCGTGAGATCAGACAGCCTATTTTGTATGGGTGTTCCAGTTACAGCCCACCTGGACACAGAATCAAGACTGCATATGGCGCGAGAGAGTTGCGAGTTGGTGTTTCGAATGTAATGAGCTGTTGCTGGGTCAGTAGTCTTCTTACCTACAAAATGGGTACCAGAGTAAGACGTACCTTCATCGAGAATGACCCTTTTCCATTTTGTTGAGAAGATTATTGATTGGTCTGTCTCTTTGCCCTTCTTCCATTCTGTCATTACTGTGTGGTATGTTGTTAAGACGATCGCTACTTGATCTAAGTCTGAAGCCACTCTTAAGCGAGACTGGTTATGATGGCAACGCCATGGTAGACTGTTCGGGAAGCAATGTCTACAGTCGTGTTAAAGGTTTTGCACTCCTCAATCATTGTTCAGCTTAGCTCGTGACATACCTCTGAAGCTGTTCTTCCCAGGACCCCATCACTATTAGCTACTCAGTGCTGATTCATCAAGTTTACGTGTTGCGTGGCTTCAACTCACATGGTGCAGGAACAATAATCAGTGTTTTGCCCGAGGAGACTTCAATGTCTACACCGGGAAGTGAAGATGGCTCAATGTCCTCCGCGCGGACATCGCATGCTACCAATGCGATCATACTGAGTGTCTTGCCCAAACCCATTGGATCGGCAACTATTCCTCCATAAAACTGAGGTGGTTGTTCAACTTGCATGGCGCCCGAAACTGTGTTGTAGAAGCTGGATACGGTTGATAATATGCTAATATCAGACGGAAAGGGCATGACTTACTATGACTCATGGCCATTATCCCTCACTTCCCATATGTCAGTACGACACCCATCCCATGCCCAACCACACTCCCTTTGAAGTAGAAATGTCAAAGCTTGCTTTTGATGGCTATAGATCATTAGATAAGTGCGGTTATAGCGCTGGTATCTGGCCACTTACGGCTGCAAAGGTGTTCTGATCGATCTTGGTTGTGTCGCTTCTGCAAGATCTTGGTGCGAAAAGATGATATCAAGTAGCTCCAGATCATCATTGATATCAATTGTAGTGGCCAATGGTGCAGTTGACTTGCCCAAATCAAATGTATACTTAACATCGCTTGGATTGACTGATAATCTGTGGGGGTTACTGTATCTGACATTTTGCTTACAGTTTACCGGATCCTGTAGATAAAGGTCGTATTCTTCGAAGAAGGAGCCGACATCCTGGCATAGATCTGGAGGTCCGTAAATAATAATGTCTAAAGCGCATTGTGACGAGTAGCCTGGAATACGCTTTCCTGGCATCTGTGGTCCTGGCTTGGAAGGATTATCTAAAGTCGAACAATTGATTTCTAGCACAAGCTCACTCTGACCGAATAGAGCGCTTGTCAAGTGGGTGAATTCGTAGTTGAGCTTCCCTTCTATTGAAGTGTCGTCAGAGCCAATAAAGTTCTCAACATCTAAAAGCTTAACGCTAAACTCAGAAAGAGAACAGTTAAAGGAAGGCCGATATCGGGCAGATAAGCCTTTGATCTGCCGCTTGTTTAGTGTATGACGGCTTATTGTATTATGAGGTTGACAAACCATGCCAAAGCATATGAGTTCTGGCTCGGGAGGAGGCTGGGGGTAGCTGACTGCTTCAAATTTCAGGGGGGGTTCTATGAGAGCTTGGTGATTTTGCTGATTCATCCAGACATCTTGCTGGTGGATGACATGATACTGTTGCAGATTTCCAGGCATTGGATCGCTTGGAAAGATGCAAGCGGGCGTGGCAAAGGCTGTTTGGGGAACCAATGGCTGCTGAATATGGTGCCCGTAATCGCCTTCGTAGTTGTAGTGAGGGTTACCACCAATGTAGGGAGTTTGGAGAGGGGTATTACTGAACCCATATGGAAGCAGTTGTGGCTGCCCAGTCCGTGTTGCAAAGTCCGAGGCGGGTATACTTCTATCAATCTCCCAAGTCTCTGGATAACTGTTGATAAGGTTGGTATCCTGGTGCTGAATCTCAGAATTACTTGGCTGTGTTGGAATATTATCGGCTAGATATTCACTGTACGACCTTTTGGATGTCGACTGGAACCCTTGTTGTGTGAAATCGGCCATTTCTGGTCCTGAATATGCCAGAAAGCAATATAGAAAAATTTAATAAGCGACGAATCTATAACCTTAATTCTATGAGTTTGACGGCGGCGGGGGGGGCATAGGACTGTTACATTATGCTGCCTTATGCGAATCAACTAGCCTCTGGGCTCTGGCCAATCTGCCTTGGGCCCATGCGCAGTTGGCACTGCCATGTTGGCGATTGAACGGCCCTGGCCCGGCCACCTAGAACCAATCAATCAACGCCACGTAAAACGTAATTGTTATTTTCAACCCCAAGATACTCAAAGCAAGAGGTGAGTCGGCTGCAAAGCCCCCACACGGCCTCATAACAGGTCTCACTTGGCGGTGGCTTGTGAATGTCAATGGCAGCCCTCAAATAATATCTGCCGTTCTCAAATTTCCTGTATTCTCAATTCCCACAAAATCAATCTTTCTATGCTATTCAACAATCTCTCGAAATTCCACTTGCTGTTCTATCAAACCGCTAGACCAGCAACATGCCGCTTGCTCCCACGATCAATCTGGAAGCCCGACGCACTATTGAAAAGGCGTTTAAAGATCTAGAAAGCACGGTATCAGCTAGCGATCGCATAAGCCTTCAGGATACAACTCTTGACGATGTACGAAAAGCAGCGCACCTTGTCGAAGATGAACTTGCGGCTCGCCAATCACTTCGCAATATGAGGAGACTTGAACCTCTTTTCACGGGTTTGGAGTATTACTCTAAAACAATCGAGGTCTTATGCAACGGGGCTCCATATATGCCGTGGATATGGGCTCCAATCAAACTCGTTCTTAAAGTAAGATTTTTTAGTTGTATAGGCCAAGATGCTGATAGCTTATTAGATCTCCTCTGACTACATTGAAGGATTTGAGAAAATTATCAAGGTCTATTGCCAAATCGCCGAACCACTAAAAAGGTTCCAGAAGCTCAATCGCGCATTTTATAGCGACAAAGATATCCAGCAGACTCTTGCCATCTTTTATTCAGATATTCTAAAATTCCATAAGGAAGCGTATCAGTTTATTCGCCGGAGTTGTGAGTTTCCTCTTAAATGTACAGCAAATAATACTACTAGCTGACTTGAACAGCCTGGCGACTACTATTTCTTACATCATGGGGACGTTTCCAACGGCGTTTTGAAGGTATCATCCAAGACTTGAAAGCTCACGAAGAACTAGTTGACAAGATGGCTATTGCCACTAACATTGCCGAATCAAAAGACTGGCGAAAGGAACTCAGGCAAGAAATGGAAAGCTGGAGACAGGAACAAGTGGAAAGAATGGCTAAAGAAGAGACCGAAGAGGTCGTAAGGCAATACCTTGCAATCACCAGCTACCTCAAGGTCGATGATTCTATAAGCGCCAAAGTCTTTGATGCCATTGCTTCAGAGGCTGTTGACAGTGTCGGGACAAGCAGCTGGATCTTAGGCCAGTCTGAAATACAGGCTTGGTTAAGATGTCACCCCTCTTCCACATTCATGCTTCTTCACGGGCGTCCCGGAAGTGGGAAGAGTGTGCTGGCCACGCAGATTGTCCAGTTCCTCCAGGCATCTCAACAATCACTAGTCATGTCACATTTCTGCACATATGCTTACGAAGAGTCGATGGACTATGACAAGCTATTGAAGAGTCTTCTTCTGCAACTCATTCGCTCCGACAAAGACCTCATAGATTATGTGTATGATATGTTGCTGCGCAAAAGCAGGGTCCCCAGCTCTAAAATCGTCGAAGCACTCATTTTGGATTCTGTGCGTGCCTCGTCACTTGACCCGTCACGAACTAGGTACATCCACATCGTCATAGATGGACTGGACGAATGCGATCAAGCGACCCAGTCTAAAGTCACAAAGCTTATGAAACGGATGGTATCTGCCGCCTTTTCATCCGGATCGACCATCTGCAAAGTAATGCTCTCAAGTCGCTCTTCTCCTGCAATCACGAAAACGGCAAAGCAATCGCAAAGAGTGTGCCTCTCCAACGAGAACAAGCACCTCGAAAGGGCTATCGAGGTGTATGCAGGGCACAGGCTTTCCCTCCTCGAAACGGAGCTTTCTCAACTACAGGTTACTCCTGACGATATCTCTGACCTGAGTTGTCGCATTGCGAAAAGGGCAGAAGGTAACCTCCATCCCTGATATGTTCTTGGGGTCTGAGCTAATAGTTCTGAGGAATGTTTCTTTGGGCCCGACTCGTACTAGATTACTTGGCAAACAATATGTTTTTGCAGCGAGAGGAGGTTTTGTCAGCACCTGAAGCCTTACCCCGAGCACTACAGCAGTTGTAAGAATGGCGTTCATGTCCCGGTGACAGGGAAACTGACATATGTTATAGCTACGAGAAGATCTTGACACATATAACTAGTCATTTTGACGAGCGGTCCCTGGAGCGCATGAAACTAATTTTTGAGTGGATCGCTTTCGCGAAAAGACCCCTTCGAAAGGCTGAGTTCCGATCTGCATTGGCTTTTAGCTCTGGAAACCCGGATACTGGCGAACTAGCGCCCCAATATCTCTTTGATAAGTGCAGTCCGCTGATAGAGGAGCGATACGACTCGACATTCGCATTTATCCATGTTTCTGTCAGAGAGTAGGTAGTTTGATCTACCTTATCTAGAGACCGATGCTAATATTTGCAGCTATCTAGAAAGCAGTGACAGCATAATGGCCATTGATGAGTCTAGCAGCATCAGATCACATGGACAAGCAATTGCAGCTTGCCTTGTCTCTGGTTTGCAAATATTCACGCCGAATTATCCCGAACACAAGCGGCAACTGAGAGTTCTGCGTGGCATTCATGCCTTCCATACGTATGCCAGCCAATATTGGGTGCACTATGTTCTTGATACTTGCGATTCTCCCGAGACTAATCACGGATCCAATTTCTTGACCTTATGCAGCGAGCTCTGCGCCAAGTTCAATCCAGCGTCTGACACTTGTCACAGCGCGGATATCGGGGCGCCCCCTTGTCTTGATCCACGACTGGCGGCAGTTCATTTTGTGGACAAATCCTTAGGCGCAGTAGTTCAGCGAATCTTGGAACAAGAGCGGAACCAGTATCTTGAAGAGCCATCGCCAGAAGATGGTACGTATATCCAAGGAGGCTGAGATAGAAATTGCTAATATCGATATAGACTCTGTCAGTGACATAGTTGAAGTGACAAGCCTCAAATCACTACTGAATAATTACCAACAAACCATACGACAGTTACTATCGTTGCCAGGTTGTACAGGAGTCAGCTTTCATAATCTCGAGAGATTTAGACAAGAATTCCGATCCTCTGCATTTACTTGTCGCCTGCCTTCGTGTCGGCGCTCGGTAGAGGGGTTCGAGACCCACTCCCTTCTGGTTGCCCATGAATCCTCGCACCGTAGGATCTTATGTGAGGTACAGGGATGTCTATATCCGCCATTTATAAGCATCGAGGCTCTGCAACGACACCAGATAAAATATCATGATTTGCAGGTGGCTAACATAAGAAGAACGATTATCAAAGAGGCACCGGGGCAGCCTGCAAGATTCAAAAATCTCATAATGGCTGGCACCGTTAAACTACGGATATAACTGCTGCCTATAAGGTTAAGCTTTAGGCCATAAATACAGGAAACTCAAAAGGTTCGGGCTCGAAATCTGTTTTCTCTCTTAAGACTAACTGGATTGCGGATGCTTGTCCATGGAGCCGTATCATAGCCGCTGAACGATAGCAATTTGCTGCAAGGCCCCAATCTCCACGAAAGGATGGCCGTTGATGCAAGGTTATTGTCAATGTCCGGGTCTCTTTACTCTGAGGCAACGGCTCACTCGGGTACCACCACATCATTTATTGAGCTCCCGGGGCGTCGCCATACGCCTCATCAGTCGAATATTCAACTTGAGCAGTAAAGCAGACCAGAGTATGCAAAGCATGGCCGCTTCCACGCGCATAAGGGCCGGGCTATACAATAACATTTTTTGCGAGTGAGTATATGCTTCTCATTCGGGTACCTAGGTATTTCGCTCCTTTGTTTCTTCTTGATTAATGCAGATTGCATCTATCCGTGGGATACAAGCCTTGTCGGGGTAGCGGAGGTGATCCAACGCGTCTGCCAGGTTAGCCCCAATCAATGTATATGATATATCAGACTTTGTCTCTATCCAGACCTCGATCATTCCCATTCATCGAACCCCACACCTATAATAACGCATCATACTATTGTTGACTGCTTACAAATTCCTCGATCTTAAGTAGATGGTAAAACGAAGGGTCTACTCCAAGGTCGGGATGAGCCCAAGAGTTCCTATGGCCTTTGGGGTTCATAAATAAGTAGCGGCCCTCCTACGTTGTATTTACTATCCATTCTTTCGTTGCCGTTGCCGTCTTCTCCACTTCCTCCAGCTCCATGCGGGTATCTGTTTTGGGCTCTTTTTTGGGCCCACGAATAAGTGAAATATGGGGTATCTTGAATGTTATTTGCTGTCCCAGTAGAGCTAGCATTGGCACTATGAGAGGAACCTCATCCGCCTTTTTTTCAAGCTGCTGTATTGTTGTCTAGCTTAATGACAAATGTAAGGGTGTATGACTTAGGTGGGATGAAAACAAACTTGCCACATAAAGCAAACCTAATTTATGGCAAGTGAGTTAGTTCATTATGATCTATCTGCAAGTTTTCCTGAAACAGGCAGGTATCTTCGAAAGTTCAGTAACATGAGATCTCGGAGAATTTAGCCACTTAAACAGTTCCGACGGCTATTTTCTCGTATTCCATGAGGAGTATGTCGACTACAAGTATTAGTCGGCACGCGGCAAGGATTATTGTAGATCACATCCACATTCAACGATGATGCACGCCGGCCAGCGATGGCACGGATAAATTGACCAAACCCGCTTAATTTCTGATTCAAACGGAGTACCGTCGGCTATTTTCGAATATGTTGTATTTCGGCTCACCGGCAATGTTAAGCAAAACTAGTTAGTGACTGCGAACCAGGAATGTTGTAGATCCCATCCCCAAGAATATGTTTTGCGTTAAATGTATAGTTTTACCCCAGATTCGGTCAATACGAAGCGGTTACTGATTTCTATTTAATTGCTGCATTCCTCTTCACCTCTAAGTTAGACATAACCGACACAACTTGCTTTTGCATGGCTATCAATTCAAAATGCATATACTCTCCTTCAATGTCTTTCTTGCCCTTGCCGCCTCGGTAGAAGCCTTGAAAAGCAACTACTCCGGCTCACGGCACCTTTGGTATGATAGTCCTGGGAGCGATTTCAGGTCATCTCTACCAATCGGCAACGGCAGACTGGGTGCCCTCGTCCAAGGTTCCATCTCCGAAAAAATCATCATCAATGAAAACTCGGTATGGAGCGGTCCTTTCCAAGACCGGATCAATCCCGGCTCCTTGGAAGCGTTTCCCAAGGCTCGCAAGTTGTTGACTGCAAATGACTACACGGGAGCTGCGGGGTTGGCCAGCGACATGTACGGAATACCCCCACAGAACAGGTGGTACAGCGTGACGGGAAATCTGCTCTTGGACTTTGGGCATCAGACTGAAGAAGTCTCAAACTACGAGAGATGGCTAGACACCCTGGAGGGCACCACTGGTATTAGCTACGATATCAATGGAGTCACATACACGTAAGTGCGATCGACTTGAAGCATTCGTGTTTCTATCAGTTCATCCGAGTTGACAAGAGAATAGTCGCGAAGTTGTAGCCAACTTTCCACTTGGTGTCATTGCTGCGCGGTTCACTGCAAGCAAGCATGGTGCACTGAATATCGGCGTGAGCCTTGAGCGTGACAGAGGCGTCATTAGTAACATCGCAACTGAAGGAGAACACAACGTCATGATGGATGTTGGAGGCTCAGGAGCAGACGCAATTCCTTTCACTGCAGGCCTTCGCGTTGTTCCGTACAATGGTACGTGCAGTAGAGATTGATGAAACGCCAAATGACAACCATTGCTCCCTTAGACATGACTGACCATGATTTACACATCAGGGACCATAAAGGCAGGCGGGTCTGTCTTGAACATCACAAACGCCTCCACCGTCGATCTTTTCTTGGATGTAGAAACAAGCTTTCAGTGGAGTTCCGAGTCTCAATGGAAAGCTGGCCTTGCGAACAAGCTGGACAATGCAGCGAAGCGCGGGTTCACGTCTCTCAAAGCTGAAGCCATCTCAGACCACCAGAACCTGATGCAGCGTGTAGCCCTCGATCTCGGATCAAATGATGCCACTTCGAGTCTGCCAACGGATCAACGAGTCAATGCATACGCGAGTAACCCAGACGACGATCCTGAGTTTGTTACGCTGAGTTTCCAATTTGGCCGTCACCTGCTTGTCTCTGCTTCTAGAGACACTGGGGGTTCTGGCCTAGGAGTCCCAGCAAATTTGCAGGGTATTTGGAACGACATGTATAATCCTCCTTGGTAAGATTACCCTCCTCACCTACAGTTACATTAAGCAAGATGCAGAAACAGCTAGTTGGGGTTGGCTAACTGATGAAATAGGGGCAGTAAGTTCACTGTCAACATCAACACGGAGATGAATTACTGGCTAGCTGAAACAACCGACCTCACGGACACCCTCAGGCCACTTTGGGACCTCATGTATCGCAGCCGCGATAGAGGGTCCGAAGTTGCCACCAAGATGTATGGCTGCCCAGGCTATCTGTCGCATCATAATCTTGACCTCTGGGGCGATTCGGCACCTCACGATAGTGGTACGGCTTATTCCATCTGGCCATCAAGCAACCTGTGGCTTTCTCAGCACATGATGGAGCATTACCGATTTACTGGTGACAAGACGTTTTTGAGAGAAAAGGCTTGGCCGCTATTCAAAGACATCGCGGCATTTTTTGACTGCTACCTCTTTGAATTCGATGGCAAATGGACCTCTGGACCTTCCACTTCCCCCGAGAATGTTTTCATTATTCCCAAGGATGGGTCAAAGGCTGGTAGCAAAGAGTCTTTCGATATTTCCATCACCATGGACAACTCTCTACTGCGCGAATTCTTCTCCAACGTCATCGAGGCAGCGGGCATCCTTGGCACAGATCTTAGCACAGATAAGGTCCTCTCAAAGGTGAAAGACTACCGAGATGGTTTACGACCTACAGAAATCGGCGCTCGAGGTCAGATTCAAGAGTGGCGTCAAGACTATACAGAAGCCGAACCTGGACACCGCCACTATTCACACCTCGTGGATCTCTTCCCTGCCAGAGCGATGTCCCCTCTTCTCAACAAAACCCTTGCGAATGCAGCCCAGAAGAGTATCGAACTTCGACTCGCTGCGGGTGGTGCGTCCACTGGCTGGTCGCGCGCGTGGACAGCAGCGCTTTATGCTCGATTGCTCAACGGCGACAAGGCATATGACAACATTCAGACTCTACTTGGCCGCCATCCCGCCACGAACCTGTTTCATAACATCGAACCTGGTCAGGCATTTCAGATTGACAGCAATTTTGGTCTGGTTGCTGCGGTGGCGGAGACTCTGGTCCAGAGCCAGGCCGGTGTTGTGCATATCTTGCCTGCACTGGGCTCCCAGGTGAAGACTGGTTCTGTTTCTGGGCTTGTTGCCCGTGGGGGCTTCCAAGTGTCCATCGTCTGGAAAGATGGGCTTCTTGTGGAGGCAAAGGTCAAATCTAGACTAGGTAATTCTTTGAAGGTGAGGGTTGCGGATGGTTCAAGCTTCGAGATCGATGGAAAGGGAGTAACTGAGGTTGAGACAACATCAGGCCAAACATATACTATTACTCTCGCCTGATCTTCAGCAATACACTAGATAGTCCTGTCTAATATTGACTCGAGTTTTCACGATCGTGCTTGCGTATCATCTGGCTTTTAATTTCCAGAGCCAATGTAGAAAGAAATCCACCAATTTGATCTCATTCAAGCCAGGGCTGTTTTGAAAGTCTTAAGCCGCGCAAGAAGCAGGGAAGATTTATAATTGGAGGTAAATCGTTTAGATACCCACTTGACATTTAGCTCCATTGACTTGATTGGTTGATAAAGTCCGCTGCCTCTGAGCCCGCTCGTCAATCAGTCCAAATCAGGCAAGTGATCGCCATCTTCTAACCAAGCCCATATTTTTTCCATCTCCATGCTTCGCTTTTTACTTATATTCCGCTTCAGCGCTCTTTAACAATCCTCCTTTTACTTTTCCCTCGATAATTTAAATCTCATCATTATCTCATCCTCTCACCACTTCGACAATATGTCCAGTAAAACAAGCTTGGTCTTTGTTCCGGGCGCATGGCATAAGCCATCATGTTATGGCAAAGTAATGGAACAACTACAAAACCAACATCATTTGAGATGCATTCCCGTCACACTTCCAACAACAATGGATGACCCAATGGAGACCTTCAAAGACGATGTTGAGGCCGTCCGTGGTGCTATCAGGCAGGAAACAGAAAAGGGCCGTGACGTGATTGTCATTACGCATTCCTATGGAGGAACGGTTGGGAACAGCGCTGTCAGAGGTTTCTCTAGGCCAGCCGAGTCATCCAAATCAGGCCAAAATCCAGTATCACCATCTACGTCCCGCGAACGGATTCCAGAGACCGGACACGTTGTCGGTATTATCCCCATTGCAACTGGTTTTTGCTTCACTGGACTCACCTTCATGGACCACTTTCTCAACATAACTCCACCGTTCTTTCGCGTCAACAACAAGACTGGATATGCAGATCTCACAGTCCGTCCTCAGAAATTCTTCTACCACGATCTACCGCCTGCCGAGGCAGACCACGCGACTTCTATGCTCACCACGCAAAGCCTCAAAGCACTATTTGAAGGCAGGGAGTACTCGTACTCTGGGTGGTTAGATGTGCCTGTATGGTTCATTGGAACTGTTGAAGATCAGGGGCTGCCTATCCTTGTCCAGAGAGCTCAGATCGGGATGGTGAGGATGCTGGGTGGTCGCGTGGTTTATACCGAGCTCAAGACAAGCCATTCACCATTCCTGAGTCAGCCGAAGCAAGTTGTGCAGATCGTGCTTCAGGCTTTTGAGTCATTCACTGGCACAAGAGCCAACGAAACGCCCGAGACGCTCGAACTGGCAAACAGGTCATTCATTCCTTTAGTAAGTCCTTGGCAACCTTCAACATGGTTTCGGTACGGACTGCCTCTGGTTTTTGGAGGTCTTATAGGCTGTACTATACTATTCTATAGAAGGGTCACGGGTTTGTTTCAGTCCGGGTAGATAAAGAGGGACTAGAGAACTTGGGACGATGTAAATCGGTATAGAGAAGAAATCCCCAATCAATGTTTCGATATTATAGTTTATTGGTTCAAGGTTTGCATGTTCAGTTTCGCGTTCTCCTGCACATTTTAGATAATATATAGAGTTCAATCGAGGATTTACTATCTTTCTCATCGCAGAAGATGCAGCTATATCTACGCGACTTGATTTGTGCATTCAGACTATTCCTAATACCTTCTTTATAGAATTTTCACCTTCAGATGTCAATATACCTATTCAAATCATCATGATATGATCTGATAAAAATGGCTGTTACTCAGCCCACCATGATGCAACGTCAGCACAGCTGGTCATTGGCATGCCAGGGTTCCCCTCTCCCTCTCACGTCCACTCAATTTAAACTGTCAAAAACATCTCTCTCAATAACTTTGATTCAGCGTCGCATTACGATATTTCTTCATGTCGTCGCCAAAGACCAAATCGCCGACTGGGCCGTCATCCCCGGCCTCTGGGCCCAAGTCAACGCCGTCTCCGCAGGCCGAACTCATTCCCGCTGCTGACGACGACGCGGTGGGGTAGCATGAAATGTTCCGTGCTGCTAGTTATGCTAACGTGCTGAAGGACGTTCGAGATGACGCCGACTCGACGCTTGAAACAGACGCGTAAGATTTACTACTACCGGCATGATAAGCCCATACTGATAGCAATTTTTAGTGACAGCTCAACTGCCTCTGTTTCCTCAAGCATCCTCCACTACAGAAGTATTCAAGGTCGCACGTTCCATAGCGACAAGTTCGTGACTGAGTATTCTTTTCCGAATGATGAACAGCAATTAGAGTCTGTTGACATCAGGTGAGATGCTATATCCTCAATCTTTCGCGCTCCGACTCATCGAAGTTCAAGCCATCATTACCTGACGGTGCTGCTCGACGGTCAGTTATATCTAGCTCCCATCGGAGATGACGTCCAGGTATGTGGAGGAATCGTATTGGGTATAAATGATTATAAATGTTGATATATGATTAGAAAGCGCTTGACGTTGGTACGGGAAGTGGTAAGTCGGTGTAGAGTTGATTCCTGATCATAGCTAATGAACCGATTAGGGATCTGGGCAATGTACGACAACTACATGCTCTATTACGCGACGCGACGCTGACACACTTGCAGAGACTTCGCAGATCAGTTCCCCCAAGCAGAAGTAACAGCAACTGATCTCTCACCAACGCAGCCAAAATGGGTCCCTCCGAATGTGCGTTTCGAGATCGATGATGCCACCGAAACATGGACCTGGAAAGATAACACTTTTGATTTCGTTCATATGCGTTATCTCTTTGGCGCCATCCAGGATTGGACTACTTTGTATCAACAGGCCTACCGTGTTTGTACACCAGGAGGCTGGGTTGAGTCCGTTGAAGCCGACATTCATTTTCGCAGCGATGATGGCACAGCTGAGGAACAAGAGGTCTATAAACTGTGCAACAAGCTTTATGAAGAAGGTGGCAAAGCAATTGGTCGAACATTCTTTGTGCATGACTTGCAGCCGAAGGGGATGGAAGAGGCGGGGTTTGTGGACATCAAAACGGTGGACTACAAGGTGAGCGTTCAATTTATCAGTGTGCTCTTACAAGGCTGATTCCATGCGCGATTACAGATTCCAATTGGGGATTGGCCCAAGGACCCGAGACTTGCTGAGGTCGGTCGATTTGTCAAGCTGACATTGGAGAATGACATGGAAGGTATGATGAGTTTATGCTTTTTTTCTGTTCTATGCTCACAGATTATTTAAGGATATACTTTACTATTGTGGAACAATGTGCTACAATGGCCAAAGGACGAGTATCAAGTGTTCCTGATGCAGAGTAGAAAGGCTCTGCGCAACCGCAAGATTCATGGTTATTTTGTGGTACGGTATGTATATGGCCGCAAGCCAGAACAATTATACGACGCTACAGGATAACTGAACCGTCCGTAGGTTGTTTTGCGCAGCCGACTTATCGGGCCGGAGATTCTTAACAGGTCACTGCATTAGCACATTGCAATATTTCAATAACATCAACAATAAAGCAAACCAACTAGTATATACACATCTAGGCCATAGGGATCACAGCATCTATATATCAGTAAATGTATGTTGTTGGCACATGCCTCCACCCTTCATATACGAAAGACACAGGGAAGACCTAGTAGCTATGAGTTCAGGCGACAGGTCATTATAAAGGATTCATCTTCCAAAGCTTATCCAGCATTCCCATGCCCGTCTATCATCTCTTATCGTAGAATTCATCTATCAAAACCATGCAGAGCATAACTTAAACGGACTTGTCATTCTGGACAAGGAGGTTCTTGGTACCACTGGGGACATTATCAATCACGTCCTTAAGAGCAATTCCCTGGAGATACTCGCAAAGACCAGTAGCGGCCTTTCCGAGGCTGAGGAAGTAGGCACCAAGGCCGACAACATGGGGAGTAGCCATGGAAGTGCCAGAGATGGTATTTTTGCCTCCACCAATCCAGGTGCTTAAGACGTCAACGCCAGGGGCGTAGAGATCGATCAGAGAACCGTAGTTGGAGAATTCAGCAACCTTATCGCTGATATCGCTGGCACCAATGGAGCAGACTGAAGGCTCAGAGGCAGGAGAAAAGCCAGCGGCATCCTCGGGGTTGCCGAACAGGTCACCATTTCCTGCGGCGACAACGGCAAAGTAGCCAGCGTCGACGAGGGCCTTGGCAGCCGAGTTGACGGCCGTAGACTTGGTGTTGCCGAAAGACATGTTGATAACCACACCGTTGGGGCAGTCTCGGCTCGGGGCGTCCTGAAGGACTCGGTCCATGCCGGCAATCATGAGAGAGCTGTGATCCGACGTTAGATTTGGGTCTCAAAGACTGAAAACTGAGAAGACGTACTCTGTGCCAAAGCCATACTTGTCGAAGATCTTAATACCGTACAGGCTAGCCTTCTTGGCAACTCCGTAGGTCTTGGAGCCGATAGTACCGGCGCAGTGAGTTCCGTGGCCATGGTCGTCGGTGTTGATGCCGTCGACGTAGGTGGCGACAAACTTGGCACGGCCCTGGAATTCCTGAAAGGCGTGAGTTATAAGATAAAGCATATCGGTAGAGCTTCAAACTTACAGGGTGCGAAACTTCAATGCCAGTGTCAACAACATAGGCGCAGACACCTTGACCAGCAGAGTCGTCATAGGTGTAGGTCCTAGAGCCGGGCGACTTGTTGGACAGACGGGCCAGACCCCAGGTAGCGTTGTTCTGAGTAGCAAAGATCTTGGCCCGGGAGTCCTGCTCAATATACGCAACCTACAACGATGTCAGAATATTGTATGCAGCAAAAGTAGAATCAACTCACGTTGGGGTTCTTTCGGAGCTCCTCAATCTCCTTGTTGGTCAAAGAAGCGGCGAAACCGCCGACCTTCTTGTAGACAATATCAGGGTCGGCAGCCACAGAGTCAACAGCTGTCTTGAGGACCTTGGCGGCATTGATTGAGGCCACATTCTTCATCATGACAATGTACTTTCCCTCGAGCGCCTCTCCTTCCTGACGGGTGATAAGGGGAGCACGCTTGACAGGGCTAGCAGTCGCGGCCTCAGCCATGAGGAGGGCAGTCAAAGCAGCGATAAGACGCATTCTGAAAAGATGTATTGAAGACTTGAGGGAGACGAGATGATAAATACTAGCGGTTGCGGTGATCTACAGACTCTCTTTTACTAGCAAGAGGGAATGGACTACACCTTTATATACTTCTTGTTGCTAAACATCCCGTTCGGAGACTTGTTTGTCGATCATTATCTTGGTCGTATTCTCATGACAAGTAAAGCTTCCATCTGTTTGGCATACGAACTCTGCGTCTCTTTCAGGCCGGAAATTCAAAAGTTCTTGATGATTTCTCGTGTATGCATAGACTCGCGCGATTGTAACCCTTGGTAGTCTTCCCTTCGAGGGCATCTAGTAGCGTATACAATTGTGTGATTGCAAGGCTACACAACATAATTGGTATGCCTCCTGCCTCTTTTGAGACAGCCGAGTCTTTCAGGATATTTGGGTCCATGGAGATCTTATTGGCTACAAGGCCGTATTTCATTTAATCGGATGGTATACGTCGATCATAGCCGGGTTTGTAGCCTTAATCCGTTGGACTTTTCTACTATTGGCAGGAGACCAGTCCGACACCAGTGACCTGAGCACTATCTTCCCTGTAGATAGATAAGACCAATGAAGGGGCCTTTTGTATTTACAGTTACGGGATCTAATTGGTGCGCTTTTTATGGTTACCTGTTAAGGTAATGGCCCGGTCCGGCCGATCATAAGAGGATAATGCAGTCATTGGTTTCGGCAGTTGATAGCACACAAAGTACCGTTTCCGAATGACACTCTTGTTACTTATTCAGGAAAGTGCTCACTGCGGCGGGGTCTGAGCACCTTGTTAATACGGATGAACCCTCCAGGTTTCCTAAACTTTATTTAACAGATCTACTTCTTGTACTCAACTAATCTTTCTACCATCTTATCATTACTTAAGGAGTGGATAAGATTGTAACACCTAATCAGTTATAAGGTTGGTTTTTAAGAAGGTTAGGCGTTATAGCAACAGTAAGACAGAATTCCGCTATCTATAGTCCACAAAACAGCCTGATCCTAATATCCTCAGATTCTATAAGGTAAGGTAGCTTTATCATTTTCGGACTCAATCCCTGTCAGGACTCTGATAAGCTATACATACTCCTGCTACTTTTGTAGCCACAGTGCCATCGCGAATCATTTCGAAGATCTCATCCAAAGCACTTTGTACCTCGTCGTGTCCCTTTACGCGAGCCCAATCCCTGAGTCTAAAAAGTTCAATCCTCGCCCAGGGGCACTCCTTGAGCAGTTCATATGATAGAGCTCTGCCAGAAAGGAGACGATTGTGGACAAGAACTCCTTTTGGGCTCAGCGTGCGAACCAAATCGTCACCTTCAGATCCGCCAACCGCGTTGAATGCAACCGCGAGACCACGGCTACGGGTCAATTCATACAGCTTTTGTGGGAGACTGGCTTCTTCCGAACTGCAGATCACAGCTGCCACGTCTAGCTCTCTCATCAGCTGTTCTCCTGCGTCGGAACGTCTGACCAAGACGACGGGCTCCAGGCCTTTTTTGTTGAGCATACGAATGAGAATTTGGCCGATTGCAGACGTTGCGGCATTGACAGCCACGATTGTGTCCTGTTTCTTGGGTGCGTATTTTTCGACTATCTTCTGAGCTGTCAGCGGATTGATATATGCCATTGCCGCCTGTTCGTCGGTCAGGTCAGATGGAACGCTAGAACACGATTCCTTTCCAGTGACTAACTTTTCAGTGACCTTGACGTCCTGCCAGGTCCCCGAGCTCCCCAATGGTAATACTCTTTGTCCCACCTTCGACTCAGAGACTCCATCGCTGACAGATTCGACTACTACAACTCCTTCATATCCAGGCACAAAGGGAAGAGAAATCCTCGATCCGTAAGCGCCAGAAATGGTAACCAAGTCCGAGGGATTTATGCTGGCCATCAGCATCTGCACCCGGAATTATCCTGGTCCGGAACTTCCGGCTTGTAGGCCTCATGAACGACTACCTCTGCCCCACCAAACTTGTGCGCGATAGTCTTGAACATGCTTAATAGCTGAAATTTACAAGAGGCAATATGTTGACTAATTCAGCGGTGATAATTGCGACGATGTAAGTGTCTTTAGAGTTTTGCTGTTTGGTCTGACAAGGGACAAATGGCCTGATGGTGTGAGCATGATTGGCGATAAGCTGATAAGCATTGCTAGGCAAAGGTTAAACTAGATGAGGACTGCGTGTTCCCCTTGTCAGACATACAACGAGCGCTTTCGTGTGATGCTGCACGAGGACGACAGGGAAAAGTGCTGCTTTCTTTCAATCGAGGCATGAGTGCTGCTGTGTACTGGTCCACTGGAAGAGCTGGTACATCTCCAGAACTTCACATGAACATCCGAAATAACCTGCGGCATATTCTCTGTTGCGTATTAAAGCTTTGTTATTCCACTTCATCTGATAGGAGTCATTCCTCATGAACCATTACCTCCTCGTCTACTTGTACTAAGATGAGACGAAGGCGTATTCCATGTGCCTGACCTTGCGTCCAGGACCGTTCCTATGGTTCTTACGAAGAATATCATGAATATAAACCAACTTTCTAATAAACCGAATAGAACACGGGTTTCTTCACCTACGTTGAGCTTCTCAAGGAACTCACAATAGTCGCTAAATTGTAAAAATAAAAACAATACAGATCACAGGAAACGCTGCGAGACAATTCATTACATACTGATCTGTCTACCTAACGTCTTATAACATCCAGCATGGATTTTTAATAATATAGTGGAAGTCTCAGTTTAAAGAGATATGTTTACGATAGAGTATGTTGAATACCTATAATAACACTACCGCAGTATCGAAGCACTGATTTTGCTACGTTATCTGCGCACCGTTTCAGTTTCGGTCCATCGAGGGCCGTTTGTCAGTAGGGCATGTACCAAATCTACCAAACTCGTGAGGCCCACCAGATCCTACGCTTGCTCTTGCTCTAAATTTGGAAAGCTGCGGTGATTTCAAACCCCCCAAAGCGCCGAAGGTAACTTTTATCAGGCTTGAACGGCACTGCAGCTCTTTAGAGTGGTTCCAACAAGAAACCGAAAGCCGTATCCTGTGTCTTAACTAGCAAATCCTCTCGAATAGCAGGTCTACCAACGCAAGTTCCTACAGCGGAGGCTCTAGCGTCTAGTCTGATGAATACGCAATCTTCCTCGACTAGGTCAGACGGGTGCTTAGCGTTCTGAATCGTTGTATCTCTGTAGTGCGATGCAGTAAAGCTGAAGTGTTCATTTTCTTGTGTCCCAGATAGTCGGGTGACGCGCAGTCCGACATGGGACATTTTAGAATCTCTGAACGTCACCCATCTGGCTTCTTCTCTGTTACCATTTTCTTGTGGGATATCATAGGCAGTCTGAAGCTCTGAGATAGACTCGCAATTCCAGATACCGACTCGCTGGGAGCTTTTCTTATCGGGGTAGCTCTCGCCTGGTCCCAGGCCAAACCAGCTTACATGGTCCAGCAGCTTTGTCCCATAAAGGTTCAAGCCAATACGTGGAAGGAATTCTGGAAAAGACCCAGTAGGACACATGCGAGTGACCTTAATACTGAGAGCTCCAGTTGTATGCACAGTATACTCCATATCTGTATCAAAACCCCAGTCCAGGACCGGTGGAGTGATGAAGAGGTGCGCTTTGAGGATAATCTTGTGGCGATCGAAGCTATCAACCGAAAGTGAACGAAGCTGCGACGCAAGCTTATTGACACCAAATCTCTCCCAGTATGATAGCGACGCACGGGTATCATTAAGGGTACTGGGTCTCCAGAATGATAGGGCAGTGGCTATGCTGGTCTGAATATCGGCGTCCAATAACTTGTCATTACCGTGGATCCAGCGCTTCAATGCACCACGGGCTCGATCAAAGACGAACAGAAAGTCATTTCCAGAAACTGAGATAGTAGAAGGGTCCGAGGACACGCGCAGTTCGGGGTACGGCATACTGACATCATTGAGGGTTACTTCAGCTTCATGGTGATGATCTTGAAGTCGATGTTGACCCCAAGCGACTTCGTGACCGGCATCAGCCCAAGGAGTTGACTGCCTAAGTACCAATGATACTGTCAAGTAAGTTTCTCCTCGCCTATATTGCCGGTGGCTGAGGGGAATAGGTATGATGTGAGTATTGCCGGCTGGGATATCTGGCAATTCGAAGAAGCCTGTATCTAGTAGCGTCGTCCTACATCGATTAGCGCCAGCCAGAGATATAGAGACCTTTTCATACTCACTCATCACCCAGATGTTCCACCTTGAAACTTGCTGATAGATAGTTCAAGGCGACAAAATCATGGCGGTTCTCGATCCTTAGCTTGCCGTTTTCAAAAGAGAAGCCAACAGGCTGAATAACCTTCTTATACTCCATCAGTCCCGGAGTAGGCTGATGCGCGCTATTTAACAAGCCATCCATCAGATATGGCCCGTCATTTGGCTCATCGCCAAAATCCCCGCCATAGGCATAGTATCCCCGGCCATGAGAGCCAGACGACTTCCATAAGCCATGGTTAGCCCACTCCCAGATAAAGCCGCCTTGGAGGCGAGGAAAGTCGCGGAAAGCTTGCTCATAATCCTCCAACCAGCCAGGGCCATTGCCAAGCGCATGGCCATATTCACATAGGACAATAGGCTTATCAAAGTTGCCATCATCTTTTACGCCTTCTTCTTTTGCATACTTGATCAGACGCTCAACACTTGGGTACATATAGCTATACATATGTGTCGTCTCGGCTTGCTCATCTCCTTCATAGTGTACCAATCTGCTCGGATCGAACTCTGTGGCATACTTGAACATTGCCCGGATATTATCTCCGTAGAAGGCTTCGTTGCCAAGACTCCAGATAATAATGCTAGTATGGTTCTTGTCGCGATTGATGACAGTATGAATGCGGTCAATATAGGCATTCTTCCAAGACAGGTTATTGGAAGTATATTGCGCCGCCTTACCAAATACTAGCCTTTTCCTTTCTCCATAATCCATTTCTTCAGGAATATTAAGCGGACGCGCAATAGCATCATAAAACCCATGACATTCCAGGTCAGCTTCAGCCATAACCCACAGGCCTAGCTCATCACAGAGATCTAGGACCTTTGGGTCATGCGGCTGATGAGCACAACGGATTGCATTGATATTATGTGCTTTCATCAACATCAGATCCTTCCTCGCAAACTCGAGAGGAACAGACCGTCCTAAAACAGGATGATGTTCGTGGCGATTGACTCCCTTAAATCGAATTGGCCTGCCGTTAACAGTAAGAAGTCCCTCTTTAATCTCGACCTCCCTAAATCCAATACGATGCTGGACCTTGTGCAGCACAGAATTGGAATCGTTAGATCTCAGGATTATCTCGGTTGAGTAAAGGTATGGGGTTTCCGCGGTCCATTTCTTTGGATTGTCGATCTCAAGGCTTACATCAAGCTGCACGGTGTTTTCATCGATGACGACCTTGCTGGAATTGACCAAGGCGCCTCCATTTTTGTCCAGCTCGGAAAGCCCAACCTCAAGAGTTGCGGACTGTTCGGTAACAACACTAACGGAGACAATGAGAATGGCGTCCTCATAGTTACTATCAAGTTTCGTCTTGATAAAGAAATCTTCAATTCGACAAGATGGGAAAGAGATGAGATACACATCTCGGAAAATTCCTATGGTTTATTAGTTTCTATTGTAGTTAACAACGCTCTGATTCTGTATATTACCTGAAAGCCACCATTGATCCTGATCCTCAATATAGGTTGCATCAGACCATTGGTAAACTCGCACAAACAGTTCGTTTGTATCATTCCGATTGACAAAGGCAGATATATCAAACTCAGATGGGTTTCGAGAGCCCTGAGCATAGCCAACAAGTACGCCATTGATCCAGACGTGGTACGCACTATCAACCCCGTCAAATCGTATTCTTAACTGGTCATTTGAGTCCCAAGCAGGAGGAATGCGAAATGTGCGGCGGTAAGACCCCGTGGGGTTCTCGACGGGGACATAGGGTGGGCAAACCGGAATAGGGAATTGGACATTTGTATAGCAGGGTTTTCCAAAACCCTGTAATTGCCAATGGCCAGGTACCTGAATCTGTTCGGAAACAAGATCTCTTGCCAGGGTTGGTTCTGGGGCTTCAAGAGGTGTAGCAGCAATTGAGAATTCCCACGTGCCATTCAGTGAAATCGAGGTGTCAGGAATATAGTATGATCGGGTATTGAGGGTATTTCGCCTGAAAACAGCTAGATTGGTATAGTCCGGCAGGTACTTATCCTGTTGTGGAGGAATACCCTTGGGCTTTTCATTCGAGTAATCACTCATATTGTCATCAAGATTGCCAACAACGCCTGGGTAGCATTTGTGTTTCAGGATTAACTTGATTCTTTTATCTTATTTTTACTACCGACTCTACACCTAGATGGGGAGGCACACACCCCATACGCACTGACCTCTTACTTTTCCTATCACAAGCTTGATCCGGCTTAAAAGTATTTGATAGGTTCGGCATCATGGCTGGAGAACAGTATCCTACTACAAGTACAAAACCTAATACGGGCGAGCCAATCGCCGTATAGAACGAAAGCTCGGGGGTTCGAGTGCGGGGAGACCGGAGCCGGAGTGATTTAATGGTAGCTTCAAGCGTTGAACGGGTTGTGCTCTGTTCTGGCTGACGGTGTAAGTGATGGATTTCTGATTGATAAGCCGACGAGCCCACTCTGCCGGCAGCTCTGCCGATGCCCGATGCATAGTTTGGAATGGAAACGTTGGGGATTGGTGTAAAGATTATTTGCGCTGTGCATCTCGTGTAAGAGTGGGGCTCGGCTCATTTAGAACACAAGTCTTGGCCAGAGTAGGCTCATAAAGCTCTGCGCTTTGTCCAATGATGGCTAACACAAACTCTTCATGCCACATAAGCAAGCTTAATGCAGATACGTCGAGCCTATGAGATCACAGGCATTAGAATCCATTTTAATATCTGATACGCTCGCAGAACATCTGTCCATGACGTCTCTGTGATCGCATCATCTGCCGTTTCCAGAGCATCCTCGAATTTGTAAAATGAGCTAAATATAGCCACTCGATGTAGCTCTATAAGGTCTAAAGAAGGTATGTTCTTCAGAACCCTGAATGCGTAATTAGTATTGGAATCTTCAAACTTAACTCGACTGGTGTAACGAATCAATTGCGCTTGCGGGTAGCTCTTGGCTTGCTATCACACAATGATCACATTTCTATCCATAGCTAGTTATCTATTATGCAGCATCTCCTCTAAGCATCTTACGTTTAGGCTTGTCGCTGCGGAATGCCCTCCGCACTCGAAGCCATCGCTCCGTGGGAAGGGATCAGGGAATTTCATTGCCAAAGCATCTGTCGAAGTGGTATTCTGACTGTTATGGCTATCTTCACCTTCAAAGTATGCCAAATTACAAGTTCCGAGATCTTTTAATGAAAAAGTTCAATAGCAAGACTTGTAGAGAAGCGGCGGCACCGTGATTGAAAAGTATACTCTGGCGAACAAGTATTAAGAGGACAAAAAGCCCAACCTTCAGAATATCGATATTCCCCTCTATATTGGGACTCATTATTTTGCTGACTTGCATACCGAGGGCTCGCTCAGAGTGCTAGAAATACTCGAATTTCGAGGGAAAATAGTAGGTTGTTCATTCTGGATGCAAATACAATTATAACTTACCCTTTTAGGCTAAGGATCCATCCAACTCGCGAGTGCAAATGATGAATCGCAGAGATTCCTAGACTACCATCTTATCGGTAGCGAAAATTGGTGGAAGAATGCGCCAAAGGTCAGACTATTACTTCTCAGATATAATGCTCCTCCTGCATCATTCCGGGCAAAGGACAATTACCTACCAAGCCATACTAAGTACCAAACCTTCTACCTAAATGTCTTAAACAGAAGGCTAGAGGAGAAAACTGCCGAGAACGACAAGGATATCTTTATAGCGTTTAGACTCCTGGCAGGACGATAGCGCTCACTCTACATTCACCCTTAATCACTACAGGGAAGTGTGTGGATTCTCCAAAGCCAACATTTATTTCATGCTTCGATTTAAATAACATGGATATATATATAATCATAAGGAAGCTTGACTAAGACGGAAAAGCGATTCTCAGCTATGGCATCCCTTGTATAAATCATAAGCCTGATACGAAACTGGAAGGCTCCGGGCATCGAAGCGCGAGACTGGAGAAGATGGTGACCTTGCAAAGGAGATGTGATCAAGTAGAGATTCCACAGAGATTTGGTACACATGACGGTTCTGAAAGGTACCTCCAGGATAGGTTATTGAGCTCGACACCGCCATCTAGCCTGGCAGGATCATTTTTGAGACTGGCGATTCGCTGCAGTTTTGAGGTCAAAATTCATGTTCCTCCTATAGTATTCTGCCAGAATATCCTCTGCTATCCTAAAATCTCACATTGGTAGGCATACTATATATACAGGTCCTAAGTATTAAAGCAGTCTAATACTGCCTCTTATTAAATAGGAGTTAATTATATAAAGTTTTCAGGCTAAGAAAACCTAATTTACAGATAGTCTTATTAAAGAAAGAGTCTATTATTTATATATTTTGGCTTGATTTATTATTTTGTCTGAGTCTAGCATCTGAAACAACATTTGCATCACACTCAGGTGATGCTTACTGAGTTGTTGTGAGACGTAAAGAGTCTGGAGAGCACCTCGTAAAACGTCATTTGCACGAAATGCTGCATGTTTGTTGTTAGTAGGAACTCATGAAATTAAGTTCAACGACGTTGCCAAGCTGATTCAATGTCGTCAGTGTGCATTCCGAGAATGGGACGAGTTGTAAAAACCTGTCCTGAGGGTCCCCGGATATTAATGGATCACATGAGAGATCACGAGATTAAATTACATTTCAATGTTGTGATCGCGCTTGACAGGTGCAATTTACCCTGCCGGTGTTGCCTGGGGACGTACCCGTGAGGAATTTCAATCGTGAATTGCATTGCGTTAAGCTTGATGACACTTACGTTCTGGCGAGATATTCACGAAGCACGGACGACAACAACACTTTCTCACCTCAACCTTTCAACTCATGTACACAAATCAATTGGTTGGTCTGTATTCAGTATTACCTCTCTATAAGTCTCATAGTCTATAGTTTACTTTGAGCATCTCTTGACCTGTCCTCAATTGACAATTGTTGACTCTAGGTTAGAATGCAACCTCGGGCATGTCTACCCCACCTCTTTTACTGGAGAAGACTATCCCAAACAAGTCAAGCCCATAGTGAAATCATGCAGTAATATCGGCTAAGCCCGAACTAGGCACCGGATCATTTGAAACAATGAAGGGGGTAACGTCAAGCGAGCAATGCAACGCATTCCTCGCCCCTTTTGCCCCAAAACCAAACATGGACCTGTAAACAAACACAGAGCAGCCAAAACTTATGACTGCTTTTTACAAGCAGCCAGAAAAATAGTGTGATGCAATCGGTACCTTTGATGCAACCCTTTTGATCTTGGAAAAGAAAAGAGAGTCGTTAGACAAGACAATGGCAGGCAACAAGACCAGCACCAGCAACAGCAACGATAAACCCCTGTGGCGACCGTTGGCCCATAAGCTCTCCAGCCTGATCCCGCTGCGACGCCTCAATAAAGCCAAATCCAAGCCCGACGTCAGGTCCGATCACGCTGCGCACTCCAACGCGTCCGACTTTCGACTTGACGTCCAGTTAAACGGCCTCGAGAGCCTGCGCCTCCCGAGTAATTGGCTCCTCCAGCCCAAGGACGCAGACAAGCAGCAGCAGCAGCAGCAGCAGCAGCCTGTCGACGCGTCGTCTCCGAGACTTAGTCATCACTTTTCGCGGAAGCCAGTTAATCGCAATGAAGGCTCTCGGCCATTGACTTTTATCGACAGCAGCGATGCAGACCAGCGCCACGCTCGGGCATCGGCGCTGGAAGCCCTCAACAGTCCAGATGCGTCGACGACGGCTAGTATTTTGGACCGTGGGCGACCGGTCGAGGCCAGGCATTTAATTCACCAGCCGGTCAAGAACCTCAAGAACCATCGCAAGTCATTGCCTCTAGACCTGGAGACCATGTTCCAGGCTCCTAACGAAGATCACGATTCAAATGCACTACGCACCGCCACTATTCGCCTGGTGCCGAATGAAAGTCTCATCACCACTCCATCTGTAAAGGAATCGCCAAGATGGACTGCTGAGCGCGAGGCACGATTAGCCATGCCCCCACCACCAAGGCCACTCAGCACCAGCCCAATTGACTCATCGTCTACTGCTACACCACCCAAGCCAATTCAAATCCCACGAAACCCTCAATTGGCATTAAAGAGACCCACCAGCCTCGGACCTCCCCCCAAGGCCGCCGAGTCACCCTCAGAAACTCCCCTCGCAAGAGTCAACTCAAAGCGACCAGGCGCACTTAGCGACCGCCTCGCCTGGATGCGCAAGCTAGAAGAGAAAGACACCACCAAACCAAACAACGACCTGACCGCGCTTCAGAAACGAGCTGGCTCCGTTTCCGACAAGCTCGCCATGTTCGAGAAGAAGAACCTCTCCGTCACTTCCGCCTCCTCCAAGCGCCTCCAACTCCCAGCGCGCAACACAAGCAGCCAGTATTCCGCGTCGGTGCGCGAGTCCATCTTCTCGGCGGATGGCAGCGCTTACGCCCCGTCGCCTCGCACGTCGATGGACACGGCGCGGACGTCCTCCGTTATGAGCTATTACGACGATTCGTTCCGAGAGAAACTCGAGTCAATCGTTGGACAAGAGCCTGAGGCGAATAAGCAAGCAGAGGAGTGATATTGATTCCTCACTCAGTGTTCTTGTCGGCGTTGATGCGATCATTACAGATCAGAATGAAGATGATTTAGAATGTATTTATTGATATTATTAGAGCAGGTTTCTTTCATACGATGGCGTTGATGACTTATCTTAGAAATGATTTGAGAGTTGTTTAGATTCTCTTTAATATACTGCACGCAATGTGTCACTTACATCGAGTTGTCTTTGCCACGTTTAGTTATACAAGTTACGTGCATGCTGTAAAGATGATAAGTGCTGTCTCAAACCAATTGATGAAGAACATCCTTTCCGTCTAACCATCTCTCGACATTCTCTGCCTGTTCAGCATACCAATTATTCATAATACCCTCCTCCACGTACCCCATATGCGGCGTCACCAGAACACGACTCTTGTTACCCCTTCCCCAGTTCTGAGACCGCCATGGGCTATCTGCAGGCAGAGGCTCAGACTCAAAGACATCCAGTGCCACGCCGCGGATTAAACCGTCATTCGCTGCTTCGAGCAGTGCCGTC